TTATTTATTTTTTTAATTTTAAAACTTATTTGGAAATCATTTCAAACTTACAAAAAAGTTGTGAGAAGAGTCCACAGAATACCTATGTATCCTTTACCCAGATCACCTATTAACCTTTTGCCCCATTTGCATTGCATGTGTTTTCCCAAATGATCTGAGGGTTAAGTTGTACACATCCTAGCTCCTGACCCTAAATACCTCAGTGTATATTTCCTAAGAATAAGGGTTTTCCGGGCATCTGAGTGGCTTAGTCCGTTAAGCGTCTGCCTTTGGCTCAGGTCATGATCCCAGGGTCCTGGGATCGAGTCCCGCATGAGTGGGGAGCCTGCTTCTCCCTCTGCCTCTGCCCCCCCTACCCCTGCTCATGCGTACACTAATAAATAAGATCTTTAAAAATATATATAAGGGTTTTCCTTCCTTATATAACCATAGTATAGTTATCAACTTTAGTAAACTTAACACTGATACAATGCTTTATCATTATGTTCTAATTTTGTCAATTGACCCAAACATCTCCACTCACTGTCCGAGCCATCATCCTGTAGTTCTAGCGGCAGCAGTGCCTTCTCTTCTCGGGCCTTCTGAGAGCTACCAGCTGGAGTGCTGACCTTTCGAGGCCTCAAGCTCTTGAGAGGCTCCTGGGGACAGATTGGAATCAGATACCAGGGAACAAAAGTGATAAGGAGAAAGATGAGGATCTTAAGAAAACTAGCACTGTAGGAAATTGGACTGGTTGGGGGGGTAGAGTACTGGGACCTCATGAAGGGCACAACAGAAATTACAGGAAATTATGGAAGTCCAAGAAAACCAGGATACCCCCAGCACCTTATATGCTTTGGTGACTACTCGGCGCTTCCTTCTTGGCTCTTCTGCTTCTCCATCACTGGATGGTTCATCCCCTTCGTCAATGTCAAAGTCAGAGTCCACCTCATCCTCTGTGTCTGACTGGTCCCCTTGATACTCATCATCTCCTGATTCCTGAGGACACAGGGAGATGAGGTTCTGTCACTGGAGTCATCAGTGCCCCTCCAGGAACAGAATCCTTTTGCTTTCTTGATGTAAGAGTTGCTCCACTCTCCTTCCCAACACAGCCTTCAATTTCTTCAGGCAAGAAACCTTCCAAGCTGATGGCCTTTGGCACCAGCACCACCCCTTCCAAGCATTAATCGATTGCCCTTTACCTGTAACACGTTGTGTTAAATGTTGGGGTAGGGGCGCCTGGGTGGCTCAGTTGGTTAAGCAACTGCTTTCGGCTCAGGTCATGATCCTGGAGTCCCTGGATCGAGTCCCGCATCGGGCTCCCTGCTCGGCAGGGAGCCTGCTTCTCCCTCTGACCCTCCCCCCTCTCATGTGCTCTCTCTCTCTCATTCTCTCTGTCTCAAATAAATAAATAAAATCTTAAAAAAAAAAAAAAAAAAAAAAAAAAAAAAAAAAAAAAAAAAATAAATGTTGGGGTACAAAAGGATATGGTTTGATCTCTACCTTCAGGGGTCTCACAATCTGGCAGAGGACAGGACATAACTGTAAAAGGAAGTCTGAATACAAGGCAACTATAAAGTACCAAATGATACTATGTTGCAGGAGTGGCCCCTGGATGGCTCAGTCTGTTAAGTGGCCAACTCTTGATTTCAGCTAGGGTCATGATCTCAGGGTCCTGAGACTGAGCCATGTGTCAGGCTCCACGCTCAGCAGGGAGTTTGCTTGAGGATTCTCTCTCCCTCTCCCTCTGCCCCTCCCCCGCTCTCTCTCTCTCAAGTAAATAAATACATAAATCTTAAAAAAAAAAATGTTACAGGAGCTCAGAGGAAGGCACACTTCCCATAGACTGGTGGTCTGGGAAGGTCTAAACTTTAGACTTTATTCCTTTAGAGCAGGGGTTGTCAAACTTTTACTGTGAAGGGCCAGAAGAGAACAGGTAGTGGGTCAGATCTGGCCAGCAGGTCAGGGTTTGCTGAGCCCTGCTTTAGACTCTAAAGACCAAAGAGGACTTGAGTCATGGTTTAAAATACTGGTAATGTTTAGACAGCCAAGAGGGCAGAGGTATCATGGGTAGATGGAATAGCAAGAACAAAGGTTCAGAAGCAGGAGTGTGTATACCTTGTTTATGTAGATTTAGACCTAAGTAAAGCAGGTTTGTCTTAGGTAAATCTTCCTAGCTGGGGCGCCTGGGTGGCTCAGTCGTTAAGCATCTGCCTTCGGCTCAGGTCATGATCCCAGGGTCCTGGGATCGAGCCCCACATCAGGCTCCCTGCTTAGCGGGAAGCCTGCTTCTCCCTCTCCCACTCCCCCTGCTTGTGTTCCCTCTCTCACTGTCTCTCAAATAAATAAATAAAATCCTTAAAAAAAAAAAAAAGAAATCTTCCTAGCTACTCCCTTTGACTCGGGCACAGCCTTCTTCCAACATTAACTACCCTATAAGGCTAGAAGACATGAAAAGATTAATTCAGTCAATAGAGAAAATTACATATCAGGTTAGTAAACTGATGACTTTAATTTGTAGGCCAGTGATTCTCAGTTCTCTCCCTCTCCTTGTCTCACTGCTGATAATCATAGTTGAGGTAAACTTACTGAGAAATAGGTCTCATTCCTCAGGTGTGTTGGAACAGAAAAATAATTGGGTGCTAGTACTCTGTATAATGGAGAGCCAATGAAGATTTGGGGAGATAGAAAAACTGTATAAAAGGGGTGTTTCAGAAAGCTCTGGAGGTGGTTGGCTGAGTGGAGTAGAGAACATGGAGTACAGCCTAGAATTGAGGGGCTACAGGTTAGGGCTAGAATGAAGCCACATGAAAAATAAAGGGAAAAACTGTTGGGGGCAGGGGAGTCAACTGGGCAAGGTGGCACCTCAAACATGTGGCTCTCTCTTCAATCAGTGATGTAGACCAACAGGCTAATCTTGATACACATGCTGCCAAAGCAAGCAAATAGCACAGACAGTTGACACTCCAAGCTAGCCAGAGTTCAATCTTGCACTGATGACCATCATTTCCTCCCAACTGATGTTTGTAAAAGACAGCCTGGGAACACATTAATCCCCTAGCTCTAACCTGGTATTAAGTAATCTCACCAGAGATGAGTAGTTCAACTACACATTAGCTTAGTGTCCAATCAAAATGCTTTCACTAAGTTAGGGATTTACTACCATTCCTTTGGCTTTTATCAGGAGTCAATAATAGGCATGACTAGATAAGAAAATGTTTCTACATCATCTACTGAACCCCCATTACTTTATATATCTTATATAAGGATGAAATTCTTCCTAGGATTTAATGCTGAATGAAATTTTCTCTTAAAGAACATATATGCCTCTTTCTTACTGAAGAAAGAAACTCGGGGCGGGGGGCGCCTGGGTGGCTCAGTCGGTTAAGTGTCTGCCTTCGGCTCAGGTCATGATCCCAAGGTCCTGGGATCGAGCCCCACATCGGACTTCCTGCTCAGCAGGGAGCCTGCTTCTCCTCTCCCTCTGCTGCTCCCCCTGCTTGTGCTCTCTCGCTCTGTCAAATAAATAAATAAAATCTTAAAAAAAAAAGAAATTCAGGGTTTGGCTGCCAGGAAGTTCACAGCTAAATTTAATATCAATTGCTATTACCAATTTAGCAGGGGCTCCTGGTACAATTACTTCTGATCTGTCTCTATTTTTACTGTTCCTACTTTTTTTGTTTGTATGGTAAGCCTCCTTTAATCCTTTTTGGAAACATGAAGGGTACATATTAAATAACGACTCGTAAAATGACAGGAATAGGAAAATGGCCTTTGGGGGAGGGATGTGAACATTCTATTTTAAACTATAGTTGGTCAGGGCTGTGTAAGTAATGACTCCCAGTCATCAAGTCCTGTGGATTCAATTTCCTTAATTTGTCTTGAAACGTATTGCCCATGTTTCTCTACTCCCACTTACCTCCTTCAAACCATTCTCCTCATAACAGAGTGAGCTTTCTAAAGTACAAATTTGATCATGGTACTTTGATGAATCTTCTCAGTCCTCTGGATGAAGAGCAAAACTCTTTAACATGGTTCACAAGGCCCAACATGATCTGGCCTATGCCTACTCCCTCCAGCCTTACTAACCTTTATTCTCCTACAAGGTTTGGAGAATGAGAGTAAGCATGCATGTACCAGACCGAGACTCAGTACCTTTACACATTCTGCCCCAGCCTCTCCGTGGGTTAACCTTTCTCCTCACCCTGCTCCCAGCCTACTACTATTCATCCAGCCAAGGCCTACTTTTCATACTGTAGTAAGTTTAAACATCATGTCCCCCAGGGATGTCAATCCTGACCAATGACTCTGGCTCCCACATGTTACCAAAGCACTCTATGCTTACCGGTTATTTTACTCCTTATCACACAATATTTCAACTATTAATTCATCTGGTTCCCCCATTGGGGTCTGGAATACGAAGAACAAAGTGGTGTTTTTAATACTCTCTGCTTCCCTAGAACTTAAAACAGTGGTTGGTTTGGGCGCCTGGGTGGCTCAGTCGTTAAACGTCTGCCTTCGGCTCAGGTCATGATCCCAGGGTCCTGGGATCGAGTCCCACATCGGGCTCCCTGCTCCACGGGGAGCCTGCTTCTCCCTCTCCTGCCCCCCCTGCTTGTGTTCCTGTTCTCGCTGTCTCTCTCTGTCATATAAATAAATAAAATCTTAAAAAAAAAAACAAAAAAACAGTGGTTGGTTTGCCCTAGTTTCTCAACAGATATTTTAAAAATGGACAGATTCAATCAGTACCAGTACCAATCCAATCCAGAGAATGGACGTATACCGTTGAAGAAGACAAGCCATTTCTAAACTTACAGAGCTTACAACCTAATAGGAAAGTATAAACAAGCAGGCAAACCAAATCTAATTACAATTTGAAATATATTCTACTAAGGAAATAAATGGGCCACTTTTAGAGCAGTTAAGGAAGGGTTAACTAAGGAGACATTTACATTAAGATTTGAAAGCTGAAAAAAGAGTAGGCTAAGCCCCTCTTTTTAAGATTCCTTTCTATACTTCAGGTGGATAACCAGGCAGTGGGCCAACGAGTGACTACGACGAGCTCGCGTACGTTGTTAGACGTCAGAAGTGCAGTGAAACATGCAACTGGAGAAGTACACAGTTGGTTTCTTCCATATTCTGGGGTGCCTCCGGAGAGCCCCTCCATCCCTGACCCCTCCAACCCCATCCAGGAGTCTCCTCTCTAAGGCTCCAATTTATCCCCCGGCGACTCTCCCACCCGGTCTCTAGTATCAGCTCCCAGGGCTCCTCTCCATTCCCCGCCCCCTTCTTTGTCCGAGGTTTCTCCGTTCAGGACTCCTTTTAGCTTCCTCCCTTCCCTCTTCCTGGGCCCGGCTCTTGCCTCTGTGAAACCCCCATAAGTCGTCTGGTAGAACTCATCTTCCTCCTCTGCCTCCAGGAGCCCAGAAAGCCGGTTCCCCGCGGTCTTCCGGGGGGCCCGGCCCCCAGCCAAACTCATACCGCCTACCGAGACTACGCCGCTACCCGCGGCCCCTCACCCAGTGCGGCTATCGGAGCTCGGCGCTCGACACCACTACCTGCGGGTGGCAGGAGGCGGCGGAAGCCCGTCCTCCACAGGCAGAAGTAGCAGAGCGTCGAGAGGCTTCCAGTCGCGTCTGCCAAGCCTTCTTCACTCTACAGCCCCGCCCACTGGGGACGGGGAGACCACCCCCAAGCTCCCCCCTCCCTAGCTCGCGCGGACCTGAACTGTGGAATGATTCGACTAGGTGTCACCTGGAGCCTCACTATCCTAAGTCCAGAATTTGGGAATCAACAAATTTTCACTTATTAGAGGTCAGACACCGACCCCCGCTCCAATCCGTTTTCCAGTCTGCTTCTAGTAGTGAACCTTTCTAAAAACCCAGACTTTGTCACTCTTCTGCTCAAAGATCTTTAATGGCTCCCTAGCATCTACAGGTTAAAGTCCAAAATCCTTGAGCCAGAATAGTAGTGTGGTTAAGAGCAGAGCTTTAGAGCCAACCAGACTTGAGTTTGAGTTTAAGGTCGTCTAGCTGTGTGATTTTGAACAAGTGGCGGAATCTCGGTTTTCTCATCTGTGAAAGTGAGACTCGGGGCGCCGGGCTGGCTCAGCGGGTAGAGCGTGCGACTCTTGATATCAGGGTCGTGAGTTCAAGCCCCACTTGGGCATGGAGCTTACTTAAGAAAAATAATAAGATGGGACTAATAGTATCTACCTTTTAAAGTTGTTGAAAAAGGGGTGGGGGAATGGGGTGGCTGGATGATGGACATTGGGGTGCGTATGTGTTGTGGTGAGCGCTGTGTATTGTGTAAGACTAATGAATCACAGACCTTACCCCTGAAACAAATAATACATTATATGTCAATAATAAAAAGAATAAAGTTGTTGAAAAGGTTAAGAGATATATTCCTTGTAAACTGCTTCACACAGGATTTAGTAAGCACTTAGACGGTTTAGTAGGTGATAACTACCATTAACATGGCATTCAAGATCCTTAATAATTTGGCCTCTCCCTGCCTTTCAAGCCTCACCTCCTGCCTCATCCTGTCCTAGCACCACCTCCCAATTCTCTGTCGTGCCTGTATGCTTTTCCTTCTCCTTAAGATTCTTTCCCTATCTTGTATACCTGGCAAAATTCTTGTTCTATAGGATGTGAAGTCTTCTCACTTACCCACCTCGCTTCCTGGCACAGTTTCCATAACCATGGAGATCATGCCTCCTCAATTATCCAGAGTAATTCCAATATCAAACAGCCTGTGGTATTGTCAAGACCCTGTGTCAACTTCTCCTCCCATCTTTTATTCTGAAAATATGGTTGTCAAACCATAGTACCTGTATATACTCTATGATGACAGCTATTACATTTTATTCTAATGATTTATATGTCTACCACATTAGCCTGTGACCTTTTTGAGCGCAGGGACTTTATCTTCATCTGTGTATACCAGGAATTCTCATAGTGCCTAGGGCATAGTGGGAGCTAAATAATGTCAATTCAATGAATGAATTAATGAATGACTAATTGAATGAATAAGATACTCATCCTCTTATTTTGCATCTAGGTTGATCTTGCCTGCCCCTAGCCCCTCCATTCCGACCTTAGGAACTGTTCTAAGACATGAAGGTCACTTTAATAAAGCTGTGTGTGTGTGTATGTGTGTGTGTATACGCACGCGCACGTTATTTCTGCTAAGTTTGTATATAGGTCCTATTTTGAGATCGCCAGATCGCCAGATTGCTCTGCTTTTCCAAAGTATCTATTGAACTCCCTTTTCAATTTCCTTGGGGGCACCAAGCCAGCATGTCCTGCTTTGCCTCTGCTTCCACACCCTGCCACGTCACCCCAGTTCTGCTATGCCAGGAATGTTACTGGGGAAGAGTGGCTCTATGACTCAGAGGACACCCCAGGGATTGAGTGGGAGTGGAGGCAGAGACAAGGTATGGGAGAAAAGATGGGAGACGCCCCTAGCCCCACTTTTTGAATTTTGCCTTCATCCATTCATATATTCAGGAGACATGTATTATGCACCTACTTTGTGCCAGGCACTATTCTAGAAGCTTGAGATCTAAAAATGGATAAGATGTAATCTTTGCCCTGAAATGTTCAGTCTTAGGAGGGAGACAAACTAGTAAACAGACTGACAATACAAGGTAGTAGGAGTAATAGTAGCCATTTTCTGGTACATAAAGAGAAGCAAAGATCCCTAAGAAGCTACAAAACAGGGATCTCTTTTCAGGAGGGCTGAAATCAAATTCACTGATCAAATCCCAGGGAGAAGATCCCCCTCTTTGACCTACTGCCTTGGTGAGTCAGGGCTTTATTGGTCTCTTTCCAATTTTAAAATCAGAAACAGCTTTATATCTACACCAGCTGATTTCTAAAATAACTCAGGAAATGGTAGCATCTCCATGCTTTTTATGAAAACAAGGATAATTTATTCAACAAATATTTATTTATTGAAGATCTATGAGTGAAATCCTGTGCTAGACAGTGTGCTCCCACTGTCTAGTTCCTGTACTGTTTAGTTGGGTGGAGCGGTATAGGCAATTGTAAAATAACTTCAGTGTCACACAATTCCATTACTATGGAATGAAATGGCAACCCAATCATGTGAAGTTTGTCTACCTTGAGCACCCAAAGGAATATGAATAATCCAGCAGGGGGCAGCAGGGAAACAATTATTTTAATCTTGATGAGAATGGCGTAGAAGGCAGAGGTAAATAGGCAGGGGTAGTTTGGGCTTTCGGGTCCTAGGTTCCCTTTCTAGAACCTGGACGACACCCGGATAGAGGATAACCAGGGCATCTTGGGGGCTACAAAAGCAAGATCCCCCCCCATCCATTAGTCTTCATTTATTAATTCCACAAATAATTATTGAGCCTCTACCATGTGGAGAGTCACAGATAGGAGAAGCTAGAAATACAAGAGTGAAACAGTCTTTGCTTACAGTCCGATCAGGGAGAGACAGGTCTTAAGATCCCCACCTGGGTTCACAATCTCCAGGGTACTTTGTTAAAACTGAGCAGCGTTAGTCCGCACACTAGACTAGAATCGTGTCCCCATGCCCTTTGGTGCACAGAATAACAGAGTTGAGTAGTTAAGGGCTTGCTTGGATCGCGAGAAGACTGTGATAAGGTTTGATTGCTTTCCGTGGCCCTTTCTGACAGGTCTTCATTCATTCATTTATCAAATATTTACAGCATTCCGTAACAGTGCCGAGCATTGCGTTTGAGGCAAAGTGTAGATCTGTTTTGAATGTCATTCAGAGGAAGGCAAGACGGCCGCGCACGTTACAGTAAACAAAGCAGTAAAGCCGGAAGAACACTTAGTCGCATGTGATGTTTTGTGATATTCGAGTGCTTAATGTCTCTGACTTGACAACAGCGCTTTTGTCGGGAATTCTTCCCCGGGCTCTAAAATTGAGGGCCGGCTGGGCGGACTCTTCACTTATCTCGAGCTCCGGCAACTCAACGCGGCCCTTTCGCAGAGCCGAATATGAATTGACCCACCGAACCACCGTAGGGACGGTCTACAGTCGGAGAGGGCTTGCCTTCGACCGGTGGATTCGTTAGGGCGTGGGGAGCCCGCATCATATGACCAATAGCAGCCCCCCGATTGGCTCTCAAGGACTCCCTCTCTTCCCGTTCGAGTGGGCTGAAACGCTGGAAAGGTTAAGCGCATGCGCAGTTCCCGGATTTCCCTAGCCACCCGGAGTGGAGCGGTGGGGTTGGGCGATAAACAGGCTGTGGCTAGGGAGGAGGGGTAGGGGCATTCGTTCCGTTGGGACTTTTCACGCCCCCTTATTTTTTTAGGTGTGGTTAGGTTCAGACGCGGGGCCCTGGCAGAGGCTTGAGCCTACTCTCTTGTGAAAGGGGAAAGAAGCTCCCGAGGAGGGCGGCCGAAGTTGCGGAGAGGGTGCGAGACAGGAGTTCTCCCCTATGCCAGCCAAATGGTGCGGCCCTGAGCTGTTTCACGACCCGGCCCGACGTGTCTGAGAGAGGCCCCGGAGCGGGCAGGGAGGCGGCCCGCAGAACGCGGGTTCTGTGAAGAGACGTGGAGAAAATTCGATTCGGAGAAGAGGAAAAGCCCGATTGAAAGAGAGCGAGGCCGCTGAGGGGGAGGGGGCTGCCAAGATGGCGTCGGCCTCCTCTGGGCCGTCGGCGGCCGGGGTTTCATCCTTGGATCCCGCGGTCCCTTCCGGCGCCTCGTCCTCAGGTAATCAGGGCGGGGCGTGGGCAGGGGTCTGATGACTGCTGTGCGATGGGAACGAGAGCGAGACCTGGGAGGGCACCTGTAACTGGGGATGTCCGAGGAGTTGCCGGTAAGGAGGACAGAGGCCGGGCTTTCAAATAGCAGGGCTTTCTGGGCGGACAGGGGGAATGTGAGGAAAGGATGGATTTGGTTGAGGAAAGGGAGGCTGTCAGAAACACTAGCTGTCTTCGAGGAGACCTAATTGAGGACTTGAAGTAGTAGGGTTAGGAAGGGATGGAGATTGAAGGTGGGGGTAAGAGGGAAACCGAAAGGAGCGGAGAAAATAAAGTAAATGGAGGCTTCATAAGTAGAGAGAGGAATTAGTGTGAGAGGCAGGTGGAATCCAAGTTATGGGGTTAAATTTATAAAAATGTAGAAGAGAAGCCATGGAGTTGAAACATGTTTAAGAGTTATGTGACGCTTTCTTTCGATTGCTGCGGAGTTAGGGAATTGTGGATTTTGTTGGGGGTAGGAGTTGAGACATCTTTTTCCTTAGAGACTCCCCTTCATGCGTCATTCCTTCTCACTTAGTGCTCCCCCCCCCCACCACGCGCACGCACTCGTACACACATATATGTTCTATCAAACACCCTACTTCGATGATTCTCATTTCTAGACTGCCCAGTTTGGGAAGGAATGGAACGTTTTGAAGGAAGGTGGAAAAAAGACCCTAAAAACAGATGGATGAATGATGCAGTACAGGCTGAGAGAGGTTATGTTGGAAATTAGGCCTGGGAAGGATGGTGTGGTTGGGGGAGGTGGTTCTGCGTGCTGTGGGGAATATTGCATAATAGGAAATGGACTGGAAGAATGCTTAGGCTGTATCAGGAAATTGGCACTTGGAGAATGGAGCCAGGGAACATAGCTCAAAGTAGTTAGAAACTATTGGAGATTGAGGGAGGGCCAGGAGCCCACCAGAAAAGCAACAGATTGTGTGTAGGAGGGCAAATGTGTATAAGCGTGGGGAGAGGGGTGGAGATTGAGTCAGAAACTGTTGTAGAGCTTCCATCAGAAATGTCTGGTGTTCCACAGCGGCTCTTACCTCTAAATTGTGAACAGGAGAGGCTGCCAGATGTTGGATGCAGTACTCGAGATGTTGACGTTTCCTTAGGCCTGGGATTTCATCCTTAACCTTTTGAATTGACTGAATAGAAGGTTCCACCTTTCATATTCCAGCTGGGATGAGTACGACTACATGATCACAGATATCTTCTTCATAAGCTGCAGTTTTATTTATGTGCATCTATTTTTAGTTTCTTGAGAGGTGATTTTTTTCTTTCCTGTAAAAGCATTAGAGGACCAGAGCAACTCATGTTGCATTTTAAGTGTGAAGGATGAAGTATAATGACAGGTTTTTTTAATAGAGTAGTTCCTTAATTTAAAAACTTTTCTTTCCTTCCCCAGTGCAGAAAGAACAATGGTTGTGTGTAGTCCTTAAACTTACCTATCAAGTTAGGTGTTCTATTAGAAACCACGTTAACCTTAAAAGCCATGTGTTTATATCCTAAAATTTGATTCAGCCTCTATCTCATGGACGTACTGGCCATGTGGATAGATTTAGGAGTAAATATTTTTTTTTTTTTAAGATTTTATTTATTTATTTGAGACAGAGAGAATGAGAGAGACAGAGAGCACATGAGAGGGGGGAGGGTCAGAGGGAGAAGCAGGCTCCCCGCCGAGCAGGGAGCCTGATGCGGGACTCGATCCAGGGACTCCAGGATCATGACCTGAGCCGAAGCAGTCGCTTAACCAACTGAGCCACCCAGGCGCCCGAAAGGAAATATTTCTTTGTCACTTATTGATACATCTTTCTCCTCTTCCATCTCTGCTCCTGCTTCAGATAGTCCTCCTATCTTTTTCAGATGTCACTGTATGATATTTTTATGTTCTTATGTTTTCTGCCAGATCCTAGGGCTGGCAATTAGTAATTCAGATTGCATAAATGTTTTTGTCCTTTTGTGTTTTCACTAGAAAATAAAATATTAGGTTTCAGTGGACCTTACAGCTCCTTGACTCTACTATGTTCATATGAGAAGTCAAGGTATAAAAATGTCTAAAAATAGTTTTAGATTCCTATTTTTACTTTTGTTTCTTACACCTTCCCTCTTTGCTTCTTTGACAGATATTGAAGCAATTGGATTAAGAAATTAAGAAAAATTCTGTTTGTAAATATTCCTGAAAACCTGGTGGGATTTTTGTGTCCAAATACACAGTGTTGACTTTATTTGTGTATCTGCACTTTCACTTAGGTTTGGGCTTAGTAAATTTAATTTGGTAAAATATTTCTTTCTTTTTTTTTTTTTTAAAGATTTTATTTATTTATTTGACAGAGAGAGACACAGCGAGAGAGGGAACACAAGCAGGGGGAGTGGGAGAGGGAGAAGCAGGCTCCCCGCGGAGCAGGGAGCCCGATGCGGGACTCGATCCCAGGACTCCAGGATCATGACCTGAGCTGAAGGCAGTCGCTTAACCAACTGAGCCACCCAGGCACCCTAAAATACTTCATTTTAAGGATATGATTGAAGAGGATAGAATATTTGATTCTGATACCAAAAAAAAGACTATTAAAATGGGATTTATTTTTATTTTAATTTTTTTTAAATGGGTTTTATTTGTGACTGAAGGTGAGTGTTGCTCTATCTGGATGATAGTACCAGGGGGATTAGGACATTGACAGGAATGAGTGATGGTTTATGATTTCCTAAAGTGTTAAAGGCAACAAGGCTGGCCTTGTAGAAATTCAAGATAGTGTGTGTGTGTGTGTGTGTGTGTGTGTAACCATTCTAAAACCAGCTTATTGTTCTTAGATGTTTAGCTGAACTCACTTAAATTTTGGTGAAACTCTGAAATCCTAAAGGCAAGATTCGTTGGCAGTGTTGAAAATAGATTCAAGGTAAGAATGTTAGGATTCAGGGACAGATTGACTAATGTTTCAGATAAGCCACTCATAACCTTTGGAGGCTCAAAATCTTTTGGCATTCAAATTAGGAAGGACAGATTATTTAGAACAGTTGTTCCTGTATGGATTATTTCACCATTAAGGCATAGCTGGTCTTTTATACTGCTGATAAGTGAAATACGGATGGTAGATCAAACCATACGTTTTAAGATGTTTGACATCTTTTCCCATTGGAGTAATTACCATGTTTGGATTTGGGGGAGGCAGTTGTAAATGAGTATCAGCTTAGAGAAGGCATCATCATGTGTTTGTTCTTATACTTTGTTAATAAAAATTGATGCAGTTTGCCATCTAGTCTCAGCTGTTTGATGTGTAAAGGAAATTTATTCCTTCTTTGGCTTTCTCCCCCATCCTTATTATTTGGACAGTGGCACCACTTAAAAATAAAATTAGCCCTGAAGAGGTGCTGTTGACGGTATGACCATCTGTCACACCAGTGTGCAGAAAGTCTGTTTCCCTATCTGTAATTTGACTAGTTTATCAGGAGCTTGAAATTCAGGGGCGCCTGGCTGGCTCAATTGGTAGAGCATGTGACTCGATCTCAGGGTTGTAAGTTCAAGTCCCACATTGCTGTGTAAAGATTACTTAAAAATAAAATCTTAAAAAAAAAAAAAAATGCTTAAAATCAGCTACTGAGTCCCTTTTTTTTTTACTACCAGGAAGGGGGTAAAGAGTTTCTGTTTTGGAGACTTGATTTGAAGTTTGAAGGAGTTAGAAAGTAAAGTTAGAATGCTAAAGTGTATAACTGCTTCTCTGAAATAAGAGCTGTTTGATAAAATCACATGACTCCCCCAAGGAAAAAACACTTGAAACATTAGAAGATCATGAAACTGTAGTTCCTTTTTGCTTCAGACCAGAACATTTCTGAAATTGTCACCCTTCACCTATATGATTTTATCATGAGCACAAATGATTTGGAAGTAACTTTACAGCTCCTTTCCGACTGTATTTTACTTAACTACTGAGGGAAACCCCAGAGACACAGGACTGAGCATTTTTGCTTGGGACCTTTATCAAAGGGCCAGCCTCATCAGTCCCTGATTCTGGTGGTTTTGTTCTTTCTAGAAGAGCTTCACCAGTAAATTATGCTCTAATCTGATAACACCAAATGGTAGGGATTTTGTAGTTTTTTTTGGTCTGTGTTCTTTTTTTTTTTTTTTTTAAGATTTTATTTATTTATTTGAGACAGAGAGAATGAGAGACAGAGAGCACGAGAGGGAGGAGGGTCAGAGGGAGAAGCAGACTCCCCGCCGAGCAGGGAGCCCAATGCGGGACTCGATCCCGGGACTCCAGGATCATGACCTGAGCCGAAGGCAGTCGCTTAACCAGCTGAGCCACCCAGGCGCCCTGGTCTGTGTTCTTTGTATCCAGTGTAAAACATTTGTAGGCTGATCTTCTCCCTTCAGTTCTTCCATATTAGTGAAAAGTAATAGAACTTAAGCCACTCTGCTAGAGTGATAAACTGAAATTTGGAAATGTAAAGATAGAACAAAACGTCATATAGTCAGTATATCACCAGGTACCATTTTGGTTGACATTTTATAAGTAGGGAGAAATGTTTCTGTTTGCTTTTTACATGGGGGTTTTGACATTTTTTTTCTTTTGTTCCCTTGGTAGATTTTGCCAGAAAACTGACATCAGAATGTCCTTGTTTTTGATTAACCTTTTTTTTTTTTTAATTTTTGAAAAAGATTTTATTTATTTGAGAGAGAGTGAAAGAGTGCAGTGTGTACACAAGCAGGGGTGGGGTGCAGAGGGAAGAGAGACTCTCAAGCAGATTCTGCGCTGCGGAGCCCGAGGCCAGGCTGGATTCCAGGACCCCAAGATCATGACCTTAGCCAAAACCAAGAGCCGGACGCTCGACTGACTGAGCCACCCAGGCACCCCTGATTAACCATTTATTTCTGCCATGGCTGCCCAAGCCCGGTCAAGTATGATTATATAGATTTATTAGGTATCCAGTATCTGATAGTAATTGGTAATAATGGACTAATAAGTTAGCTTTGGATATCAAAATAATATGTTTTGCTTGTTAGTTTCTGTATGCTGTTCTGGGTTGATATAAAAGTCTTCTGATTGATAACTTTTCTCAAACAGGTGCCAGCTACTAGTTATTACATATTTTATTAGCCTGTTTTTCTCCGATAATATGATGGAAACTATAGCCTGTGAAGTGAACAACAGAGAGAACACCAGGCCAAAGACAGAACTGGGAATAAAGAAGGAAGGTGGTTATTTTATCCTTTAAGCTGGATATTTTCTTTCCTAGAGTTTTTGGATGTTCTGACTTGACATAAAGAAAGCAAGAGCAAAGTTGTTACTTTCTTCTCTCTTTTTCCTGGGTGTATTTCTTGATCACCAATAAATGTATATTTCAGGAAGTATGCTGTTTTCTGATAGCCTGGTAGAGGGAATCTCTATTTCTCAGTGTTCCAAACCCCAGCCCACCATTCAGTCTCAAAGAGAGAGTGTTTGGGCTGATGGTATTTCCTAGAGGAAACCCCTTCCTAGCCCATTTCCCCTTTTGCACTTCACTTCTCCACCCTTTCCTATCAAAAGAGCATTGTTTAGTTTCTAAGTATGTGTTGATTGGTTTTGTTCATATCTCCTATGAGCTTCCATCATTCTTTTTTTTTTTAAGATTTTATTTATTTGCAAGAGAGAATGAGAGACAGAGAGCATGAGAGGGAGGAGGGTCAGAGGGAGAAGCAGACTCCCTGCTCAGCAGGGAGCCCGATGTGGGACTCGATCCCGGGACTCCAGGATCATGACCTGAGTCGAAGGCAGTTGCCTAACCAACTGAGCCACCCAGGCACCCTCCATCGTTCTTTTTACGGTTTACTATTTGAAGTGAACTTTTTTCCCTCAACTTCTCCATTTTTTTAAACTTTGTCTCCCAATCATTTTTCTTTATCCTCCTGTGAAATTCCAGTCTGTTTGTAATGGCTGTAGACAATATATTTTTTTAAGCTTTTATTTTTAAGTAATCTCTGCACCCAACATGGGTCGTGAACTTACAAGATCAAGAGTCGCATGCTGTACTGACAGCCAGCCAGGCCAGGTGCCCCTGTAGACAATATGTATTAATTGGCAAACATCTGATTCCAGAAAAGGCTCTTTTCTGTTGAGTCTGAGGAAGACTTTGGCAAAAAGTAAGGAAGGCAGGTTTCTTGCGGGGAGTTCAGTATATCTTATTATTTGCCTTATATACTTAACTGAGTAATATGGAAGTAACCCAGAATAAGCACTATACCAAAAGATCAGTGATGTTAATGGGAAGTGGGCTAAGGGAAGGTAAGCAAAGGAAGTTGTAGGGAGAGAATGGGAAGAGGGTTTTTTTAGGAAACATAATTAGCTAGAGCAGAGTAGCTTTCCTGTGCACAGTACAGGTAAACAAGCCTGGTAAACTTTAAATTTTCATTGACAAGAACCTGTATAAAAGGGATGACGGAAAAGTAACCTATCTCTGATATTCCTTGTAATTGTCTTGAAGTGCATTGTTGGGGCAGTTAATGTTCATTATGATATAATTAAAATTAGACGTTCTCTGCTGAAACATGTTCATTCCAATCCAGCAAGAGTCATTGCCTTTTCAGGATAGATAGAGCCAGGTTTGGAAATAAGAGGTGGCAGTTTGCCAAGAAATGTCAAATATTTCTTGGCCATGGGTGGCTTATCCAGGAGACTCAGGTCTTTTATTATTATTTTTTAAGATTTTATTTATTTACTTGTCAGAGAGAGTGAGAGAGAGCACAAGCAGGGGGAGCAGCAGAGAGGGAGGGAGAAGCAAGCTCCCCGCTGAGTAGGGAGCCTGACCAGGGGCTCGATCCCAGGCCCCTGGGATCATGACCTGAGCCGAAGGCAGAGGCTTAACGGACTGAGCTACTCAGGTGCCCTGAGACTCAGGTCTTTTAAAGAAGACTTTTTTTTTCCTTCCATATTTTCGATCAAAGTTTTAGTGCCAAGAGATATATATTTGAGACCTGAGAACCATGAAATTGTAGAAGCAAAAGTTTATCACAAGAGGGAAATGTAGTTATTTTAATTAACCTTGGGAGCTTATTACTAGTGGCAGAGGTGTTACATTGAGGTTGTATATTATCAAGATGAGTCTTAGTTTAAAAAAAAGAAAAGGATGAATCTTAGTGAACTTGTGGCTCATTCCTTGCTGCTTAGTTGGCTGTTATCTGAGGTGACCCCAGGACTGGTAGATCAAATTGCTTTGGAGCTTTTGTTTCTAGGAGCATCTTTGTCTTTCTCACTTTTTCCTAGAAGATCCTTAGGAAAACTTGACACTTGCTAGGAAACAAAATTTAGTTTTTCTCTGGGATGTGGCTTGGTTTTCTTAAATGGCTTGGTTTAGTCCTTATGGAGGATGTAATAATGGTACTTTTTTGTTTGTTTCTAAACACTAAGTTTTTGAGTACTCAGCACTACTGAGATTCTCAGGAGGTGAGCTGATACTTCAGACATTTCTGAGTATTTTCATTTGAAGAACATATTGTGTCTCCTACCTGCAGGGGTATAGTTAAAATGGCTTTCAGTATTTCAAGGTAACAAGGACCAAAGAGATTGCTTCAGATAGTACAACAGATAACTGGGCTGACTGTGTTTGTGTTTTGTTTTGTGTGGGTTTTTGCTTTTGCTTTTTTTGTTTTTCCTTTTAAAACTTCTGGCTCTCTGTGTGATCAACCAAGAGAACCTCTAAGAGTTAGCATTTTGTTTCCCAAAAGTCTGCTTATATTGCTTTGTGCTCTGTGTAGGTATTATTGACACATTTATGCGGTAGTATTGAGTTGGGTCTCTGGGATTGCCTCTCTATGACCTGCCCAGGCAAAACTCCAGTTGTCTGAGTAATGCACATCCGGCCAGCCTCTAGCATCCCCAAATTATATGTGTACTTCAAACATTGAAGTCAGTCACACACTGCCTCTTAGTTTCTCATCTGGTGGATGATGTCATTTCATCTCCGACGGAAATGCTTCTGCTCTGAAAGTGCAGGGAGAGGCTCTGGTATTAAGGCCAACTCTGTTTTGTTCCACATACTGGGGGGAAAAACAACCCTTATTTTGGAGGTTTTTACAGTTTGGAAATATCTTTATTTCAATTATCTCCTTTTTTAAAGCCAACTCATTTCCCTCTGAAGTTTGCCTTTTTTACACTTCTCAGAATTATATTGATGATTTTTCCCTTCCTCTACATTTCCTCCCTCCCCTCAGTAGTGAATCTTAATCTCCTGTTGTTCAATAGTAGCAAGCAAATATATGGAGAGTCACAGTGGTGTTTTGCCAAGAAACCAGCCCCTCCAGTACCTTTTTCATTAGAAACACAATTTAGGGTGGGGCCAAGGACCAAAATGGAGTCCTTCCTTAAGACTAGGATGGAGTTACTCAGAAAAATATTCTGTGACTTGGTGTGATGATTCATTGTTGTATTTTAGCAAGAATCAATTGGGTTGTTTCCATTTTGGCACTTGACTGGTTCAGCTGCTTTGAAATTATTTTAGTAACATTAAAGGTTTCCCAGCTTATTTTCATAATTTAGTGGATCTTTTATATTTTTCAGGGTTTGGTATCCAGGAGATACGCTGAAATTAGGTTTCCCTGTTTTATAGGAGAATATTGATGTTCTGGAGGACATGAAAGATAAACCTCTTCAGAGAGAATCTCTTATATGTGCTGATGAAAGTTTGTTTCAGGTTGTACAAGCATCTCAAAGTAATATGTGGTAGAGAAAGAGTAAGTGTAGAGGAGTCATGCGTATTTGTAGCTTGGGATTGTCAGCAGTATTCTGGACATTTTCTTTTTACCTTTTTTTCTTCTAGTATGTCTCTGCAGCAGCATAATATGATTGTAATGAGCTTGAGTTAATGTGTGGGGTGGGAGTGATGTTGGTCTGTATATGTGGGACTGTCAAGTAGTAGTTTACTGGGGAAAATGGAGTATATAGCAAAGAGCACAACAATAAAGTCATCCCTGTGTATCTCTTTTCCTTAATTGCTAAATTATTGATGTAATTATTTTTTTATATAAAATTTACATAGGTAAGGAAAAATAGATATCTGTAAAGTTAGAAAATCAACCTAATTCCACTATTCAAGATAGTTATACTTAAACATTTTGACATATAATCTTTTGGACCTTTTCAATGTGTATAAATAATGTGAGTGAACTTATAGGTAAGTGTTGTACAAAAATATGGTACTATGTAATTTTTTTTTACTCTTTTCCACATCCTATCCATAAATATACATAAAAATAATGGTTTATATATTCCATTTTATGGCTAGATTTATGTCACCAATCTCCTTTTGTTCATTTAGATTCTTTCCAGTTACAGTATCTATACAATAATAGTTTTTATATATAATGCTGCAGTAAATATCTTTGTATATACATTTTTGCCCACTTGATTATTTCTTTAGAATAAATTCCCACTTCTGGGTCAAATTGTACATGTATGTTTTTAAGACTTCTTGCTAGATATTGCCAAATTACCCTTAAGAGTGGAAGACCCTCAAATAAGATGTACGCGCGCTATTTTTTGAAAGGGTAGATGCCTGTATGCAAAGGAATTTTGTACCTGAAAATTTTTTGCCAATATGAAATCACTCCAGGGTGAAATGATTTGGCTTAACAGATTTTGTGACCAGTCTTGGAATTTTTCTGCCAGAACTTCTCCTCTTGTTTTTTGGACGTTTACCTAGAACTACAAAAAAATCATTTTACGTTTCACAGTATGGTGCTGGGGATCAGGTTAGGTCCTGTTCATAATTTTAGATTTCAGAGTTTTTTTTTTTTAATATGCTTATTCTGCTGTAAGCAAGTAGAACCCCAGCAGTAAGTGATAACTTTCTGTTTTTCCTCATTTAGGTTTCAACTTTCTGTGCTGTGGGGTCAACCATAAGAGAGGTAGATCTGATGTGTATCTGTGCTGAAGAAGCATGAGCTCCTTGCAGTAACTAGAAGCCAACTCCTCTTCCCCATAACAATTGCAGACTTTTTGTAGTGGTAGTACATGGCCTTCTTCTGAGAAGGCTGTGGGTGTCTTGCAAGCATTATTTGACATTAGCTCCCATTTCTCTCTGCCCTCCCCAAGAAAGATGCTATCGTAACACAGAAGTTTCTTTTCTCACAGTTCCACAGTATAATATGAATCAATTGACTACCTTTTGTCTCTCTCAGAGTCTTCCTATAACTTGATTTCCTTTTGTTTCAGTAAATGAGTCTCAACTCTTCTTCTTTTCCCTTTCTGCTGCATCTCTCATTTCCCCTGACCCTTCCCATTCTATAGATAGGTTTCATAATTCATAATGATGATAATAAGTGATAGTATTTGTAAGCATTTATTATATGTTAAGTACTGTACATGACTTAACTTAATTCTCTTAACAACCCTATGAGGAACATGTTATTTCTCCATTTTATAGATGAGGTAACCAAGGCCTAGAGAGTTTCAACTAACTTGTCCGAGGTTGCCTAGTTAGTAAGTGGTGATTTAGTATTCACACCTAGGTGTTCTGATTTCAGAGCCCACAGTTCTACCCACTATGCTATTATTGCTCCCCTGACTAATCTGATAGACTGTGTGTGAACTAACTTGATTTTAAACCAGATTAACTGTTTGTTATTGAATGGGTACTGACTGAACCAGGGCTCCTTGATGAAGGAGAGAATAGTACAGAAGACAATTTCCCCTTCTGACCTTGGCTCTCCTAGAAAAACAACAGAATTCTGAGCTCTTCTGTGCATAATATGTGGAGTTACTGATTCTTTCAGTCTTTTAGCAAATATTTTAGAAGTTAATGTGCCAAAAAAAATTAATTGCCAAGGATTGGTAACTGATTCTGCAGTCAATTCTAAGGTCCTTAAAACGAAAAAGAGTTTGTGTGTCAGATACCCTCTTTTTGTCCACTGCAAATTCAATAATCATAAGAGCCTTGTTCTTTTAATCAGAGCAAGTCATGGTCTCACATAACACCAAAAAGAAAACTTCAACCTGAGATGAATGGAGCTCTTTTTTTCTCTGTTAAACTTTCTCCGTTAAAGTTGTTGATATTTTATTACAAAGACAAAAAGGTACTTTCTACTAGTGAGGACCTTAACATCTATAAAACTGTGAAACTGCTCTTTCAAGAATCAGACTTGAAAGAAATTTCTACTGATCTAGAATACAGGCATTTGGTTCAGAACAAGGATAACCTCACTAAAAGAAGTGAAAGGTATTTTCCTACTATTTTTGCCAGTAACATTGATGACTATTGCGAGAGGAACAGATTGTCATTACTGTTAACTTAAGACTGATGGAGGGGGCGGTATCTGGGTGGTGCAGTTGGTTAAGTATTCAGCTCAGGTCGGGAGATAGAGCCCCACGTCGAGCCTTGTGTCGGGCTCCATGCTCAGTGCTAAGTCTGCTTAGATTTGCTCTCCCTCTGTCCCTTCCCCCAACCCCCATGCTCACTTGCACGCTCTCTCTTTCTCTCTCTCTCAAATAAATAAATCTTAAAAAAAAAAAAAAAAAAAGCTTGAGAGGAATTGAAGGAGGGACTCTGCTCTTAATCCTCTTTCAGTGAAAATGAAAAATAGATTTCCTTGTCCCAAGGGAGGGGGGTGCCTCAGGGAAAGAAAATATGTGTTCATATTGTCTGTTAGCAGTTCTGAGATTTATTTAGTTTTTAGAGCATTCTAGCTCCCCTGGTGCTTTCTTGGCCCACCTAGACTTTAGGTGGCTAGGAAATTGAAAACAAGATTGTTTAGAAGAAAGAGTTGAATTGGGGATTAGGAATGTGAATTCCCATTCTGGCTCTGTCATCATCTTTGCTCTGTGATTTTGAGCACATCCCTTATGCTTGTGCTTTTATTTATAAAAAAGGATTAGACTAAAAATCTCAAGGCCCTTTCAGATGATTTTTTTCATAATATAAATGGTAATTGATTTGTTAGCTTGACAATGGGCAAGTAGCTTAATTTGTGACTGAAGGAGCTGAGTTTTCAACTTGCTTTGTTTAAAAACCAACTTTCATGGGGCGCCTGGGGTGGCTCAGTCGGCTAAACATCTGACTCTTGATTTCAGCTCAGGTTGTGATCTCAGGGTCCCGGAATCAAGCCCCGTGCTCAGCACGGAGTCTGCTTGTCCCTCTCCTTCGGCTCCTCCCCCTCCCATTCTGTCTGTCTCTCTTTAATTAATAAATATAATCTTTTTAAAAAAATCAACTTTCATCAGCAGCTATAGATTTCAGCCAGACTGAGCTTGCCTGGCCAGAGTTTTTAAAAATTCCCAAAGTGAGAGGGGTGCTGGGGTGGCTCAGCCAGTTAAGCATCTGACTTCAGCTCAGGTCATGATCTCAGGGTACTGGGATCGAGCCCCACCCGGGGCTTCCCACTCAGCGAGGAGTCCACTTGTCCCTCTGCTGGTTCCTCTGCTCATGCTCTTTTTGTTTCTCTCTCTCTCTCAAATAAATAAATAAAATCTTTAGAAACAAAATTACCAAAGTGAGTACACCCTTGCTTCTCTAGGATTTGGTTTGTTGTTGTTGTTTTTGCTTCTCTAGGGCTTTTACATTTTCTTTCTGCAGAGGAACTAGGGTTCAGAGTTGCCATGGTTGGCTCTATATCATCTCTTGACCCACTCAAAAATAAGTTATTTTTTTAATTTTTTTAATTTTTTAATTTTTTTTTTTTAAGATTTTATTTATTTGACAGAGAGAGACACAGCGAGAGAGGGAACACAAGCAGGGGGAGTGGGAGAGGGAGAAGCAGGCTTCCCGCCGAGCAGGGAGCCCGATGTGGGGCTCGATCCCAGGACCCCGGGATCATGACCTGAGCCGAAGGCAGATGCTCAACAACTGAGCCACCCAGGCGCCCCCAAAAATAAGTTATTTGAACCATTATTTTTTTCTGATGCAGACTGTTTGTGATGGCTTCATGTCTTGCTTTTAGTACTGCAGTATTAGCTAGTTGTTTAGAATGTTTTTTGGTCCAGGACCTGTTAATAAGAGTCCCAACTTAGTGCAATATAAAAACAATGTCACTGTTAGAGCTTCATCTTGATGCTTCCTTTTACCAGAGAAAACCTCTCAGAAAGAAGCCAACTCAGATGAAGAAGCTTGATTATCCAGACTTGTTTTCTTTTCTTCTGTGGTATTTTTCCCCTAAACTTTTAATTATAAAAATTTTCAGACATACACAAAGTAGAAAGAACAGTATAAAGAACCTCCGTGTGCCCATCATCTAGACTCAGCAGCAATATTTTGCGAAGCTTGTTGCATCTGTTCATCTTAATTTCCCCACTTCCACCCCTTGGAATGTTTTAAAGCAAACCCAGTCTTCATCTGATTTCAGCATAAATGCTTCAGAATGTTATTTCTACAAATAAGGACTGTATTTTGGGGGGAAAGGGAGGTAGGGACTTGTGACATAACCACAGTAGCATCATCACATCTACAGAATAGTGGTTCTTTAATTTCTCCTCTTGAGGCTCTTGTCTCAGAAACTTTTAAACTACTTTTTTTTTTAAGTTCTTCTTTTTTAATATGGAACCCTTCATGAATTTGCGTGTCATCCTTGCGCAGTGGCCATGCTAATCTCTGTATCGTTCCAGTGTCAGTATATGTGCTGCCAAAGCGAGCACTACTTTACTATTTTTCTAATCAGCATCCGAACAAGTTTCGTACATTATATTTGGTGGATATATCTCTTAAGTACTTCATTTAATTGGTTCCCATATCCTGTAGTATTGTTTTAAGGATCAAATTAGCTACATTTGTAAGCTTTTAAAGTGCTATACAAATAAAAATTTTGTTAGTGGAGAGAAATACCCTTTCTACAAAGGTATCCGTTCAGTTTAATCTTGCAGCCAGTATTAAGGAGAACTAGGAGAATGTGGAGATGCCCAAGTATTGGCAAAAAATGCAGAAAAAAATTGTGAGCTCCTCCAGGTCAGGAACATAAAACTCTCTGTCCATAGTGCCTATGCAATGTTCCTGACATGTAACAGATTATCAGTTTTTGAATAATTGAATGAGGAGAGGGAGCAGAAATAATTCAGCATTGAACTGCTACTGAGAGGTGTTAAAATTGAGCCAATGAGGAGAAGCCAAGCTGTCAGCCTCCATACCCAGCTCCACCTTGGGTAGTGTGCTCTCTTTTGTAGCACATGCTACATTTCATGGTGTGGACTGATCATGTAGGAATTTTAATAATCCTTCGGAGTTTTGGCTTAGATGGGAGAGGCAGGTCCCTGATTTCTCAGGAGAAAGGTTTTTTGCCAAATAAAGTAAATTTTAACATTAGAACTCTGCCCTATACTCTTGTTTCCCCATCCAAAAAGAGAATGATATATATGGATCGTGGATTTGAATTATAAGATAATAATATATCCTTATCAGAGAATATTTTTCGCAAAGATGCTAGAAAACCAACTTTCTGCTGAACAATATTCTGGTCTTTTTAATTTTTTTTTTTTTTAAGATTTTATTTATTTATTTGAGAGAGAGAGAATGAGAGAGAGCATGAGAGGGAGGAGGGTCAGAGGGAGAAGCAGACTCCCTGCCGAGCAGGGAGCCCCATGCGGGACTCGATCCCGGGACTCCAGGATCACGACCTGAGCCGAAGGCAGTCGCTTAACCAACTGAGCCACCCAGGCGCCCCTGGTCTTTTTAATTTTTTTTAAGATTATTTATTTATTTGAGGCAGGAGGGAATGAGCGACGGAGGGAGGGGCAGACAGAAAGGGAGAAGCAGGCTCCTCGCTGAGCAGAGAGCCCAAGCTACCCAGGCTCCATCCCAGGATCCTGGGGTCATGACCTGAGCCGAAGGCAGACACTTACCAACTGAGCCACCCAGGCAGCCCCAACAATATTCTGGTCTTATTCATAGGGATGAATCTCATTTCCCTTAAACATTGACTGGCTGGCATTACCAAGCCTAGTGTGGCCATGCTGAGTTAGCCTTCTTGTCTTTTCTCTCTCTCTCCTGCCCTCCCTTCTCCTTCCCCTGCCCTTTGCTCCTCTTCCTCCTCCTTCTGTACTAATAGGAGAGAAAGCTTCATTATGAGGTGAACAGGTACAATGCTGTTGACTCTTCAGTCTCATGAACTTCTCTAGTAGAGAGTTTCTCATTGCGCGCCTGGGTGGCTCAGTCATTAAGCGTCTGCCTTCAGCACGGGTCATAATCCCAGGGTTCTGGGATCGAGCCCCGCATCGAGCTCCCTGCTCAGCGGGAAAGCCTGCTTCTCCCTCTCCCACTCCCCCTGCTTGTGTTCCTGCTTTCGCTGTCTGTCTCTCTCTGTCAAATAAATAAAATCGTTCAAAAACAAAAAAGTTTCTCATTGGCAGAGACTTGGACCAAGTGATCCAGCCTTAGCAGATCATGTCACTCTGTTCTTCATTGGATTTCTGGACCACTTGGGTGTTAACAGCAACATTGGTAAAACTCTAGGTATTTTTCTCTCCCCTTCCATTCTTCTGTGGTAGGTTGGAGCTCAGATTTGTGCCCTAGGAGCAAAACTTCAGGCAAGGAAGAGAGTAATAAGTCTTAGGTCTTTGTTCTCCTCCTCCTCCTGTGTTACTTGGTCTGATTATCATTATATTTTTTTAAAGATTTTATTTAGAGAGAGAGCGTGAGCATGTGTGGACGTAAGCAGGGGGAGGGTCAGAGGGAGAGAGAATCCCAAGCAGACGCTGTGCTGATCGGGGAGCCCCATGCAGGGCCCTGTCTCACAACCCTGAGATCATGACCTGGATGACATCAAGAGTTGGAGGTATATGGGGCACCTGGGTGGCCCAGTTGGTTAAGCGTCTGCCTTCTGCTCAGGTCATGATCCCAGGGTCCTGAGATCGAGCCCCACATCAGGCTCCCTGCTCAGCGGGGAGCCTGCTTCTCCCTCTGCCTGTTCTGCCTGCCGCTCCCCCTGCTTGTGCGTGCTCTCTGACAAATAAAATCTTAAAAAAAAAAAAGAGTCGAGGCTTAATCCACTGAGCCACCCAGGTGCCCTTCTTCTTCTTCTTCTTCTTCATCATCATCATCATCGTCATCATTTAGATCCCGTTACCGTTTTAACTGCTTCAGCCATAAGTGTCCTTGGGATTAATCCCAGCTTTGCAGTTGCTGATAGCTAAGCAATTGGCACCAAAATTCCACTGAGTGAAGTCCTATCACCCTGGTTCTGGGTACTTTGCAAGAGTGTAGCAGCCCTAGAGCTACATGTTTGTGGGATAAAACTAGGAAAGGTAGCAAAGTAGAGCTTTTCAAGGAGGTATAGGGCTTTCTTACTAACTCTGTGCCTTGAAATCACTTACCTGCCTCTTTTTTCTCCATTGTTTAACTTTATCTAGTGACTACTTATGTACAGAGAACGTTATTTTCTAGATAAGACTGTCAGACTAGGACTGGATGTTGGCCCTTCTTGGTTCTGCCAGATCCCTTCCAAACCTTTTCCTCTGTGGTAAAAAAAGGAAGGGATAGGCCAAACACTGACCAAGGAGTCCAGAATCAGTGTTTGTCTTCTCAACTGAAAGCATACTGATTTTCTCAGTGAGAATCAGTGATTCTGTACTTGCATGTGTGTACTTGCAGGAGGGTGTGGTGGTGGTGGGGCCGCTCAGGGGTTTGGGAGGAGCCAAGTAATTTGAGATGCTAATTAAAATTCCTTGAAGGTCTAGGTAATTGAACATTAAACCTTGCTGTGAGCCCAACTTTGCTCTTGCTTTAGAAATCACATAGAAAGAATATATTTGTATAGCACATTATGGTCCATTTGATTTAGCTTATCACATCGAATCTTTACATAAGACTTTTTTTTTAAGATTTTGTTTATTTGAGAAAGAGCGAGAGTGAGAGAGAGCACAAGTGGAGGGGAGGAGCAGAGGAAGAGGGAGAGGCAGACTTCCCGCTGAGCAGGAAGCTTGATGAGGGCTTAATCCCAGGATGCTGGGATCACGACCAGAGCCAAAGGCAGATGCTTAACAGACTGAGCTACCCAGGTGCCCGCAAAAATTTTTTAATGATGTAGGCTCCACAATGTGGGGCTTGAACCGACAATCCTGAGATCGAGACTTGAGCTGAGATCAAGAATCAGATGCTTAATCGACCCAGCCACCCAGGGGCCCCTACATAAGCCTTTTTTTTTTTTTTTTTTTTTAAGATTTTACTTATTTGAGAGAGAGAGCACCAGCATGGGGGGATGCGTTGGGGGGAGAAGGAGAAGCAGACTCCCTGATGAGCAGGGAGCCTGATGCCGGACTCCATTCCAGGACCCTGGGATCATGACCTGAGCCAAAGTCAGGCACTTAACAACTGAGCCACTCAGGTGCCCCTGTAAGGCTTGTAATATAGGTTCATTTTTTAGTTAAGCATAGAGAACAGTTTGCCTGATCTAACAGATTTGAACCCAGGTCTTCTGATTTTTAAATAGCTCAGCATGTTGACTCCTGGCTAAAAGGTTGTAAGATATAAAAGGTTAGACCTTGGGGTGCCTGGGTGGCTCAGTCTGCCTTCAGTTCAAGTCATCATCCCAGGGTCCTGGGATAACCTCGCATTGGGCTCTCCGCTCACTGGGGAGCCTGCTTTTCCTCTCCCTCTGCCTGCTGCTCTGCCTAGTTGTGCTCGCTCGCTCTATCAAATAAATAAATAAAATCTTTAAAAAAAAATAAAAGGTTAGACCTTTTTTCCTTTGTTGATGGACACCTTAAATTTTATAGTAAGTCAGTAGCCGTTTTAATCATAAATCTGGGTTATCCTGGCTTATTGTTCCTTGGAATCTTTAGCTTGGGATTCTAGTACTAATTTACCTCGTTTTTTACCCAGCTGAAGTTGATCTAATTGAAGATGAAGCATCTATAAAGGGTGTAGATTATTGGGCTTTTCTGTTTTTCCAATTTTCTGGGTCATTTTATGCATTTTTATGCAGCAGATCTTCCTAACAGCTAGATGACATTTCCATTGCCTCCTATTTTGGGAAGAGGAATGAAAACCATCTGTTCCCCATTTTTTGCTACCCTGACTCAATATAGGGAAGGAAATTTTGCTGTTCTGCTTATCGGTAACAGAAATATTTGGTCTGTGGTCTCTGTACGACTAAGGGTTATTGTTACAACCTTTCCTCTGAGCTCAGCTATATTCTGAAATTCTAAGGGCCCTTGATTATTTGTCTTAAACAATCATAATTAGAGCTTCACCTTATTGCCCTTAACCCCCTCATCAATAATCCAGTGTATACATACACTGGAACTGGGATCTTCCTGCTCAGGTGTTATTGAAGATCCATCCCATTAGGCTCCTCTTTTTAATTTTCTTTAATATGGCTAATCTTTATTCTCTTTGAATTCATTAGAATTAGATTGAAGGTATGTATCAGTAGTCTTTGAAGATAAAAGTCAGCATTTTCCAATATGAAGGGTGGGGGGACAGTCTGTCTTCCTGAGTGGTCATGTGTCTCCAATGTGATCATTGATGAAGGTTATGGGGATGGCAAACCCTTGAGAATTGATTTAACCTTTCAGAGTAGATTTTCTACAGATATATTCCTTTAGTCACTTTGTAAACATATTTATCTTTCCTAAATTTAAATGGATAAAAGCCATAATACTTATGAGATTGAATCACACACTTACCTTACACATCTGCCCTGATTAAATATTTGGTAAGTAAAACTCACTTTAGTAAGTAAGTAAACGCCAACAAATTCCTGTTGAGTTTACAGCAGAAATCAAGATGAGGAGGTAGGGATGCAGAATCTTCATTATTTTGACATTGTATTTTCTCATCCTTAGCTGCTTTATCTCCATAGATCAACTCTTTACCTTTTTTCTGAAATAATTAATAGAGAAGTAAAGCACCATAGATATGCTCTGAAAGTTCTTACCTTTTTAGCTGTCCAGGAAAAATTATTAATCAAGCCCTAGACTCTCCAATGAGTCCTAGGTATTTCTTACGCCCTTTCTCTTTCAGCCATGGTATCAAATGAGACCCTCTTGACTCTGATGGTTAAATGTATCAAGAACAGATATATTTCCTGGAAAACAATATGAAGAATTGAGGAAGAAAAGGGACTAGAACAGGAATGGAATATGCATAAGGGTTCTGTGAGTATGGAGGAAGAAGAGGAAGGGATATTTAAAATCCCTATCCAAAAGGATTTAGTATCACAGAGCAAGAGGCAGGAGCTCATTGTCAGATTTAGTTGGACTCAAACCCCAATTGTTTCAGTGTGCTTGATAGAAATTGTGGGCACTAGTGTGTGTGTGTGTGTGTACACTTCTGATTGTGTTTTGTTTATTCTTTTAACAGCATCAGGAATCAAGAGATCCATGGCATCTGAGGTGAGTTTGATACTGATACCATATTTCTGAAACTTTAATTCTGGGATAGAAGGATACCTGTTTATGACATCTTTATTTTCCCCCTACTTGGATCTTGGAAGCTAGGCGGGATTCTTACATCTCTTTGGTAAGCTAGAGATTATACATCTGCTTTCTTTTTTTTAATATTTATTTATTTGTCAGAGAGAGAGAGCACAAGCAGGGGGAGCAGCAGGCAGAGGGAGAAGCAGGCTCCCTGCTGAGCAAGGAGCCCAATGCAGGACTCGGTCCCAGGACCCTGGATCATGACCTGAGCCGAAGGGCAGATGCTTAACTGACTGAGCCACCCAGGTGTCCCTATACGACTACTTTTGTTGTAGTTTATTTAGATATTAATAATAGGTTTGATTATTATAAATCAATAGTAATTGATTGAACATTTTTTTAATGTATCAAATGTAGTGTACCAAAGAGTAAATAAGTATCCTTTATTCTTATTTAATCCGGTAAACACTCCTGTGAGCTAAGTACCATTGCTATCCATGTTTTACAGATAAGTAGAGTGAGGATTAGAGGTTCTGCAACTTGCCCAAGGTCACACAATTAATAAGGCTGGGATTAAAACCCACACAATCTAGCACTAAAGCTCACTCTTTGGTTTTGCTGTTACTGCTTCCTGGTTGCATAGCTTCAGTGAATTTGAATAACTTCTTTTAACCAAACAGATGATGTTAGTTTTCTAAGTTTTTCTTTTCTGTGCAGAATATCTTCCATTTGCTTAACTTTCTTCTTCAGTATTTCCCAAGCCTCTTCTTATTTCTTGCCTTTCTACGGGGTTTTGTGACAGGGTTCCAGAATGCAGGCCCCCTTTGGCCTGGGATTTTAGGTTTTTCTCTTAGAACCTCTTCCAAGATCTTTGAGATGATATGGTAAGGGTTTTCTGACATTTAAGGGCCTTAGCAAGAAGAGTAGAACTTGAATATCAGGCCCTAAGATCATGCACTCTATTTACACTGGCCTTTTTGCCTCTGGCTTATTAACTTAATGAGTACTAACATCATGAAGAATACCTTTGCGTCTTTTGTGCTTCATCTTGATGTGGGGAATAGCCTTCTAAGCTCCACTCTACTGGTATTACTCCTTCCTTATTTCAGGGGCAATCCTGTGGGTGGAAAACAAAGCCATATCATGTTCCCAGGAATCTCTTCCAGACACCAAGGGCTTTTATCTCAGAGGAGTCATCTTATTGCCTTAGCTTTTTAATTCCCGGGCTTGCAGTACTTGTATTTGCGAGCGGCTAGATCATTTTTACTGGTGAATGCACTTTGAGCAGGTAGTGTTCATGTCAGGTTGAAGGTTAGAGGGGTAGAAGTTTCTGAAGAAAGCTGGTGAAAAAAGAAGGGGTCTGTGGAACTACTTTTAACCTGTCTTGCTTTTGTGAACTAGGTTTGTTCTTTTTTGTGGAGCAGCTGTTTCATAGTTCTTTTGTTTCTACTTTTCCTTAATGTAACTCATTTTTTTATGTCCTTTTTTTTTTAGGATCAAAAGTGAAATATGTGTCCCTTGGAATTTTCTGTGTTCTTTTAGCCAGTTAATTCATTGGGAAACAACACTAAAGATGTGTGGGTCTTGTGAAGTTTTATAAAATGTTCTTAACCTAGACGGGTGGGTTGAGTGTTCAGTTTGTTTTAATGTACCATCATGGTAGCTGTATGGTGTATTACATGGGGATCATGTGCTAATTTTGACTCTTCTTTTTCCAGGTGCCTTATGCCTCTGGCATGCCCATCAAGAAAATAGGCCACCGAGGTGTTGATTCCTCAGGAGAGACGACATATAAAAAGGTGTGTCTGGGTGGAACCCTTTCATTTTACTCCAGGAGGGGATAGTTCTGTCCCCTTGGTATTATTCTCCACATTTTGTCTCATTTCTTGATATCTTAAGCCTTTGCACAAGAACTATCATAAAACTTGAACTTTAGAGTTTACTTTCAGTTCTGGACCACTTTGGGAGGTGCTCAGGCTTCCCAAGGGACAGTGTTCAACCTTTCCATTGAGCGTCTATACCTTGTTTGATACAGGGTGTGAAGATTTCTTGGATTCCTGTTTCTGGCCCACATAAATTCTTATGTGTGTTCTCTGCCTTTTTTGCACTGTCAGGGACCTGACCCTCTCTGGGAATGGGCTCGAGGCCCTTGTCAATTCAATAGATATTTATTGAGCTCTATTTATATGCTGAACATTGAGACAAAAAGATTAGTTTCTAGGCTAATTGGAGAGGCATACACTTCAAAATCTAGTTTTATATATATATAATTTGGAGGGGGGTAATCTCTAGCAGGGCACCTGGCTGGCTCAGTCAGGAGAGCATGCGACTCTTGATCTCGAGGTCGTGAATTTGAGCCCCACATTGGGCATGGAGCCTACTTAAAATAAGTAAAATAATTTCTGCCCCTAATATGGGGCTCAAACTCATGACCCTGAGATCAAAAGTCATATGCTTTACTGACTGAGCCAGCCAGGTACCCCTCTAGTTATCATTTTAGTGCCTAATGAGTACTGAGTAGAAATATAATTTAATAGTTGGTGAGAGTTGAGGATGAGGGAAATCATTAGAATAAAACTGTCCAGTAGAACTTTCTACAGTGATTGAAATGTGCTATAATCTGTGTTATCCAGTAGTAGCTACTAATCATACTTGAATGTGGCTGGTAAGACTGAAAAGGCAGATTTTCAGTTTTTATTTTAATGAACTTAAATAGCCATCTGTGGCCAGTGGTTAGTGTATTGCACAGCACAGATCTAGATGATGTGATATTTTCCCATATGATTGTGAGAGTGAGGCTTTTGAATTTGTGTTTTAACCATAGTGTGATAATTTTAAATCTAAACACTTCTCTCAGAAATAATTTGAGTCTTTCATGCTTTCTTCTTCAATTAGGAACTTTTTTTGCCACCCTGTCGTCCTTGGGACACCAATCAGGGTGTCCCTTAAAGGACTGAAGCTTCTGTAGCCAGGTAGTCCATCAGAATATCAGTAAATTTTAGTTAAATTCTGTATTTCTTGAATAAAATGGAATCTTTGGAATGAGACTTAAGATTGTTCTCTCAGTACAACATACCTTCCAAATGTTGATATGGAGAGCGGCTTCCAACTATAGATATGGATAGGCAGGAACACCTTGCCTAGCTGAGGCTGACTCAAACAGTCCTGCCTTTGCTACTGTGTATCTTCATACCCTTCCAGTCTTCACCAGGCTTAACTGCTATGTAAAGCAAGAGGATGGAGGAATTGGATCGCCCTGGCTTGGTCTGAAGTACTAGAAGGGCATTTGCTTTTGAGTGCTGCTTCTGGCTTTTCCCTCCTGAGTTTTTATTGTTCTGATCAGATTTTTTTTTTTTTTAATATTTTATTTATTTATTTGAGAGGGAGAGAATGAGAGAGAGCACATGAGATGGGGGAGGGCCAGAGGGAGAAGCAGACTCCCTGCCGAGCAGGGAGCCCGATGCGGGACTCGATCCAGGGACTCCAGGATCATGACCTGAGCCGAAGGCAGTCGCTTAACCAACTGAGCCACCCAGGTGCCCTCTGATCAGATTTAATACTGGAACTTTCCTCTCGTTTTTCTTCTATTTCTCAGACAACCTCATCTGCCTTGAAAGGTGCCATCCAGTTAGGCATTACTCACACTGTGGGAAGCCTGAGTACCAAACCAGAGCGTGATGTCCTCATGCAAGACTTCTATGTGGTGGAAAGTATCTTCTTCCCCAGGTACAGAGGTTAATGTTCAGGGGAATGTCCTGGAAAGTGTGGCTTTTTCATATCAACCTCAGGCCAGTTTTAGGGGTTCAGGTCTAATTTAGGCATGTGCCCAATGTCCAGTCCTTAACTTGATCTTGGGGTGATGTGGGAATAGAGAATTCGGAGAGCAGATGCTGTCCTTTGAATGCTTCCATGAGCCTCCGGCCTGTGGAGTGAGCCCTAAACAATTCAGTGCAGTAGGTAGGGATAGTGTGATCCCCTGTGCCATGTCTTAATCCCCATGTAGTGGCTTTGTCCCACTAAGTAACTGACTCATCTAATCCCTCTGGTTCTCTCAGAAGGGATGTACTGACCTGCCTCTGGGTTACTCTGAGTGTCTGCCCAGGGTGGACTCCCTGGGTGACAGGTACTGATAAATTACAGCTTTTTCTATTTTAACCCCACAGTGAAGGGAGCAACTTGACCCCTGCTCATCACTACAATGACTTTCGGTTCAAGACCTATGCACCTGTTGCCTTCCGTTACTTTCGGGAGTTATTTGGTATCCGGCCTGATGATTACTTGGTAAGCTTCTGGTTCCCCCAGTATCAGAGGGATCCTCCCAAAAGAAGACTCTCTTCACAGTCTTGCTCTAATTTTCCTTTAGAACAGAATTGCATCTGTACTTAATTTCTGGTTGGACAGGCCCTGGTATTTCTGAACTTCTTGCTCTCTTCTTTCTGGGCCCCAGTACTCCCTCTGCAGTGAGCCATTGATTGAACTCTGCAACTCTGGGGCTAGCGGTTCCCTCTTCTACGTGTCCAGCGACGATGAATTCATCATTAAAACGGTCCAGCACAAAGAGGCAGAGTTTCTGCAGAAGCTGCTTCCAGGATACTACATGGTGAGGGAAGAGGAGCACTGGTCACCTCTGCTGCCCACTCCACTCCTGGACAAGGCTGGGGGGCTCTCATGGGGCACCTGGGTGGCTCAGTCAGTTAAGCGTCTGCCTTCGGCTCAGATCATCTTCTTGGAGGTCCTGGGATCGAGTCCTGCGTTAGGCTCCCTGCTCAGCGGGGAGCCTGCTTCTCCCTCTCCCCGTCCCCAGCTTGTGCTCTCTCTCGCTATCCATCTCAAATAAATAAAATCTTTAAAAAAGAAAAAGAGGCTGGGGGGCTCTCTTCTGTAGGGCAACACAATGTCCGCACTTAGGTCTTAAAGATGTAGTTCATTTTGGGGCTTTTTGCCCCATCTCTCTTGCCTCTCTGGGGCTAAAAGGGGTTTTGGTTATCTGTCTTTTTTTTAAGATTTTATTTATTTATTTGACAGAGAGAGACATAGCGAGAGAGGGAACACAAGCAGGGGTAGTGGGAGAGGGAGAAGCAGGATTCCCGCTGAGCAGGGAGCCCGATGCAGGGCTCGATCCCAGGACCCTGGGTCATGACCTGAGCTGAAGGCAGACGCTTAACGACTGAGCCACCCAGGCACCCCCCTATCTGTCCTATTTTAAGTGTTATTTGACTTAGACTGTCCTACCCCAGGTTGAAATTCAGTGATAATTTTGTTTTCTGTTCTTAGTCCTCCTATACTAGGGAATGAGGTTGGTTACTTCTCTTGATAGTACTCTACTCCATCTTACTCTGACGGCTCTCGGAGCTTCTGGAGAAGTTAGTTTTGCTTTGCATCACACCCACAAGAATATACTATACTCTAACGGCTTAGAGTTAAGACTTTTTCAACATGATCTTTTCTTAAACCTCTCTAAAAGAATATACCCATCATATATTGAGTATCCTAACTGATTACTGTATTGGAGGGTCTGTGGCCCAGCTTGGTGTGATCTGATTACTGAAGATCGATGTATTGGGAAATTGTAAACAAATATTATGTGGGCTTATGGGCAGATAGATTGTACCTGAATCCCATATAGCAGACAAAGAAGGTGGGTGGCAACTTTTACCCTTGAGTTTCACTGAAAATCAGCTGACTTGCGCTCCTGCTTCTTTTTACTTTTGTGCCCTCAGAACCTCAACCAGAATCCTCGAACTTTGCTGCCTAAATTCTATGGACTGTACTGTGTGCAAGCAGGTGGTAAGAACATTCGAATTGTGGTGATGAACAATCTCTTACCACGGTCAGTCAAGATGCACATCAAGTATGACCTCAAGGGCTCTACGTACAAACGGCGGGCTTCCCAAAAAGAGCGAGAGAAGCCTCTCCCCACCTTTAAAGACCTGGACTTCTTACAAGACATTCCAGATGGTCTTTTTTTGGATGCTGACATGTATAATGCTCTATGTAAGACCCTACAGCGTGACTGTTTGGTGAGTTTATCATATTTCCTTCCCTCTCAGATACCAAAAATCTCAGCCACTAAAACAGCTTGTTGTTATTAGGGTTCAAATCTGTATGAGATGGGACTCAGTTCCTTAGCTCTGTATGTCCCAGATTTTACTTAAAATAACTTTTACATTAGGTTGTTGCTGAGCCTTTATATTTTTTTATCCTGTTTATCCTCCCCCACCTGGCTTCATTTTCTTTACCTCTCCTAGGCCTCATAATCCTACAGTTTCCTTATTTTCATACCAGCACCATCATTCCTCAGATCTTGGTCCTGCCTGCCAGATTCAAATTTATATCTTAGAAGCTGAGTGCTGCTGAAGAAAATCACACACCTGTGTCTATTCTCCCAACATCTCTACAGGTTGACGCTATCCAGCCTAAGTATTGTTCACCAGTCCACTTCCTGTTCCTCTCAGCACAGGTGTCACATGATTGGCACTCTCTCCAAACCATTTTCTAACTTTTAATCCCCCAGCCTTGTTTCCCAACAGACTACCTCACTCTTCTATTCCATACCACCCCCTTGTCCTGCTCCTAGCCCCAGTTTATAAACATGTCTACACTTACCCATCTTTAATCTCCTTTCTGCCCAATTTGGTGGCTTATTCCACGTCAGTCATTTCTCAGGACTGTTTCTTTAGGGTTCTGTTTCACATCTTGCTTCCTTTCCCTCCCCTGGCTTCAGCCTCTACCAACTGTTTTCTTTCTGCATGCAAGCCAACTTTTATCTCTTCCATCTTAAGGTTAGGAGGATTTTTTCTTTTCTTTTTTTTTTTTAAGATTTTATTTATTTGACAGAGCACTAGCAGGGGGAGCAGCAGACAGAGGGAGAGGCAGAAGCAGCCTCCCCGTGGAGCAAGGAGCCCAGTGCGGGGCTCTTTCCCAGGACCCTGGGATCATGACCTGAGCCGAAGGCAGACACTTAACCAACTGAGCCACCCAGGTGCCCCTGGAGTATTTTTTTTTTTTTTTTTACTTCCATTGTCTCCATGTAATAATGCTTCCATTTTTCCTTTTCATTTATCTTCTCCTATTCCTTTTTTTTTTTTTTAAGATTTTATTTATTTATTTGATAGAGAGACAGCGAGAGAGGGAACACAAGCAGGGGGAGGGGAGAGGGAGAGGCAGGCTTCCCACAGAGCAGGGAACCCGATGCAGGGCTGGATCCCAAGACCCTGGGATCATGACCTGAGCCGAAGGCAGATGCTTAACGACTGAGCCACCCAGGCGCCCCTATCTTCTCCTATTCCTGCCTCAACCCACTGTCATGGCTTTTGCTCTCACCCCTTCAGTTGAACTACTCTCCCTACTGCCCACCTGGGATGCCACGTAGAGAATATTTCTCAGTCCTTCCTTACATTTTCTGCTGCTTGAAAGTTGACTATTTCCATTTTCTTAACATACCTTCTTTTGGATTTTGTGACACCTTTTCCTACTGATTTTTTTGCATCTCTTACTGTTTTTTTCTCAACTGCTATTGTAGGATCGTCTTCCTCTACTCACTCCATAACATTGTCCATCCTTGTCCTTTGCTTACTCTGCATCTACTTGTAGGGTAATGCTTATTTTAGTTTGGCTCCTTTGGTTGAAAGGACTGGACACAGTAGAATAGAGTTGTTTTAAGAAACTATACATAAGAGGGCGCCTGGGTGGCTCAGTTGGTTAAGCGACTGCCTTCGGCTCAGGTCATGATCCCGGAGTCCCGGGATCGAGTCCCACATCGGGCTCCTGGCTCAGCAGGGAGCCTGCTTCTCCCTCTGACCCTATCCCCTCTCATGCTGTTTCTCTCTCTCTCTCTCTCAAATAAATAAATAAATAAAATCTTTAAAAAAAAAAAGAAACTATACATAAGAATCACTCCTGTGCTTTCTTCATCCCTTTCTCCACCAACCTAGCAAAACACCCTTGGTTGAGCTGCATCACCAAAGTGGGCTACTGGAACTGGTGAGAGTATACCCTTTTGCACCCTGTTCTGGGATGGAAAGAGGGTTGAGAACTACAGGATATATTCCAGGCTCCTTGGTGTGCCTGGGTGGTTCAGTTGGTTAAGCATCTGCCTTTGGCTTAGGTCATGATCACAGAGTCCTGGGATCAAGCCCCACAACGAGCTCTCTGATCAGCAGGGAACCTGGTTCTGCCCCTACCCCTGACTTGTGTGCATGCATGCGCGTGCGCACACACTCTCTATCTCTCTGTCAAATAAATAAAATCTTCAAAAAAAAAAAAAGAATCCGGGCTCCTTAATATGATGTATCAGTCCTGTCATTATTTTGCTTCTATCAGCCTCTCTAATCTGCCACACCTGTCCTTTTTCTGTCCATTTTCTGTTTTAGCAGTATGAAATTATACCTCCCTGCACATAATGTGCTGTTTGTTTCATGCTTCCAGGCGTTGGAGTATTCCTTCCTTTATTTGTTTGGACTTATTTTCTAATTTATTCTTTGTAAACTTATTTACGTATCACTTCCTGACCTCCTCCATACTATCAATCATGTAAGCACTTCTGTTGTTGCATGTATTAGGCTGTATTGGATTTATTTTTACATTTGTTTTCTTTCCTAAATGATAATATTGTTGAGAACAGAAACTTTCTTGAGTATCTTTGTATCCCCATAAACAGGCACAACACCTGCAGGTGGTAGGGCTTCAGTAAATACTGAACTGAATCAAAGCTGGTCATATAAAGTCCTGCAACACATATACTCCATCATGAAATGTACTTTTACCAGATCTTCCTTGTGGATTCTTTACAGCACAAATATGTATTCTACGTTCCCTTGAGAACATAATGCTCTTTTCACAAATAGAAGGAAAGAACAAACAGAGGGTGTTGTGGGCTAGGCAGTAGCCTAATATGTATTTACTCAAATAGAAGAAATCTGAGTGAATAGAAATAATGAGTGACTAGAAGAGGTTAATACATTCTTCTCCAGGGAGTAGGAGGAGCAAAGGATAAGCCTATAGTTAACCCTGGAGGTCAAGAATAATTGAATCTTGGGGCACCTGGGTAGCTCAGTTGGGGGAATGTGCAACTCTTGATCTTGTGGTTGTGAGTTCAAGCCCCACGTTGGATATAGAGATAGATTACTTGAAATTTAAAAAAAAAAATTTTTTTTTAAAGATTTTATGTATTTATTTTGAGAGAGATACAGAGATAGCGAGAGAGCTCAAGTAGGAAGGAGAGGGAGAAGCAGGCTCCCTGTTGAGCAAGGAGCCCGACATGGGGCTCGATCGCAGGACCCTGGCAAAGGCAGACATTTAACCGACTGAGCCACCCAGGTGCCCCTAGGGATTACTTGAAAATAAAATCTTTAGGGGCCCCTGGGTGACGCAGTCAGTTGAGCATCCGACTCTTGGTTTTCTCAGGTTGTGATCTCAAGGTCGTGAGAATGAGCCCTGCATCGGCTCCACCTTGAGCGTGGAGTCTGCTAAAGTTTTTCTCTCCCTCTGCCCCTCCCCCTCCCTATGTGCCCCTCTCTGTCACTCTCTCAAATCTTTAAAAAAATAAAATCATAAAAAAAAATGAGGGCACCTGGGTGGCTCATTCGGTTAAGCGTCTGCCTTCGGTTCAGGCCATGATCCCAGAGTCCCAGGATTGAGCCCCGCCTTGGGCTTCTTGCTTAGCAGGGATTCTGCTCCCTCTGACCCTCCCCCCTCCCATGCTCGCTCTCTCTCAAATAAATAAAATCTTTTTAAAAAATTAAAAAATAAAAATAGGGGGCGCCTGGGTGGCTCAGTCGTTAGGCATCCGCCTTCGGCTCAGGTCATGATCCCCCAGGGTTCTGGAATCGAGTCCCGCATCAGGCTCCCTGCTCAGCGGGAAGCCTGCTTCTTCCTCTCCCACTTCCCCTGCTTGTGTTCCCTCACTGTGTCTCTCTCAGTCAAGTAAATAAATAAAATCTTAAAATAAATAAATAAAAATAAAAAAAGATTAATTGAATTAGGAAAGCTGTGAGATCCTGAAATAATCCTCATACCTCCCAAGGCTCAGAACATGGTTTGTTTTTTTCCTTTCATTAGGTGCTGCAGAGCTTCAAGATAATGGACTATAGCCTCTTGATGTCGATCCATAACATAGATCATGCACAACGAGAGCCTTTAGGCAGTGAAGCACAATCCTCAGCTGACACTCGCAGACCAGCCCCCCAAAAGGCTCTCTATTCCACTGCTATGGAATCTATCCAGGGCGAGGCTCGGCGAGGTGGCACCATGGAGACTGATGACCAGTGAGTGGGCTCGGGCACCAGGAAGGAGAGCATAGACACGGCATTTTTTTTTCTTGAGGAAAGGATGCAGCTCCTGGCATCAGAGTAGTCCCTATTCAGCAGTTAAGTTGACAGTATTAACACTTACAAAACTATAGAACAAGCCGCCTTAAGAATGTAAAAGGAAAGGAAGAGGGCTTAAGTTGGGGATCTGTAGTACATCTGGGAAGGAGAACTATTTAAAATTAAAACACCTTTCAAAAAGAATATATTCAGAGTTTTAGACAACGTCTGCATATTCTATTAGAACTTCACCAAAAGTAATTTACTATAGGCAGCTTTATGGAAGGAGTCTTTCTTACTATCATGGGTCTATCTATCAAGGAAGTGTATTTGCTGAAGCATCATAAATGTCTTGTAAGTGGTTTCATTTTTAAGGTCGCCTTTACTGTGACTCTAAAGAAGAGTGTCCTAGTGGGTGTGAATTAGAATATGAAAGTACTGAGGAAGTTCAGAGTTATCTGAGCGTTTCCAGTGTTGCTGAGTGTGACTTTAGATTTTTTGGTGGAATTGGGGTTGGAGAGGCAGGCAAGTGAGACTTGGAGAGAAAGAGGTTATAATACATACTCCAGAGTGGCTCTTGGAGTTAGAGGAAGGTTTTCACTCTTCCCCAGTTTATGGAAGATGGGACAGTTATGGTTAGGTCTCAGGTCCCTGTCCTGATCTGACTCGAGGTTAGGAGAAACCCTTGTGCTAGGCCAGAGATTTTCTTACTGTTTTCTTCTTGTCTTCCGGAACAGTATGGGTGGCATCCCTGCCCGCAATAGTAAAGGGGAAAGGCTGCTGCTTTATATTGGAATCATTGACATTCTCCAATCTTACAGGTGAGGAGCATATGGATCCCAAATGAGGGGGCAGAGTGGTTGCGGATAACCATTCACATTTCTCCTTTAGATGGGTTTGTCACTCTTCCTGAAACAGGAACAGAGTTGCATTCTAGCTGCTTACCTCATCGGGTTTCAGATGGTGGTTTATTTCCTTGATTTTGCCTGTCTCCTTGACTTCGTTACCCTGCCACCTTCCCAAACATAACGTATACCTCTGTGGAGAGCTGAGTCAGTCCTCAGAAGCACCAGGGTAGAATACACCATCTCTCTGGCTCTTTGTGAAAAACCTGGGAGATGAGTCATACTCCACATTGGGATACAGCTGGAAACATGTTCCTCTTTTCCTTGGAGGAAAAGAGGATCACTGTGTCCTATGCTAACTATTAATCTATGGAACTGAGGCAGTGAAGTGATAGGGAGGAGCTGGAAATGCTAGATCCCAGTTTTACCCCTGTAAACAGGTTTCAGTTACTAATGACTGGACAATCCTTGGTTGACTATTACAGAGTATTCTCATCCAGTTTTAACTCCCTTCTTCCAGGCATGTGCATCTATCCCATCATTTCTCCTTTTGCAATAAATGTTCTTGTCCCTGACTTGCCAGGGACATACTAAGTTCCCTTTTTCCATGGGGGAGGTAATTAACTTCCCTAGAAATAGCTTTGATCTCCATCCTGAACGAGCACTACTGTGTCTTTTCTTTGGAAAGCCAGTTTAATAGAGGGAGTGCTTTCCCAGCTTCTTTAACTTCATAAAAGAGGAAACTGTCATTCATTAAAAATTCTGTGACTATGTGACACACATTTTTCTTGGCAGGTTTGTTAAGAAGTTGGAGCACTCTTGGAAAGCCCTGGTACACGATGGGGTGAGTAGCAGTTTGCTAGAGGCTCTCCTCCTGCCTCCTTCAGTTCTGATTTGCCCCCTCAATTTCTTCTTTCTTTCTTATTTCATTTGTGGGTTCTACCCTTGTGCTAGGGTCTCAGCCTAGAGGAAAATGGCCCTTGGACTAAATAGTGATCCTCTGGCTGGGCCTCCTCCTCTTTAACTCTGCAGCCATCTCTTCTGCTCTGCAGGACACTGTATCGGTGCATCGCCCAGGCTTCTATGCTGAACGGTTCCAGCGCTTCATGTGCAACACAGTGTTCAAGAAGATACCCCGTAAGTGGCTTCTACCAGACGACCCCCCAATGACTCCCTTACTCCAGGAGATGGGTGGGCAAGACACCTCTGTCAGGGAACTGCCAAAACCTCTTCTGCTCTACCCACATCCCGTGAGAGCTGCTGCCCGCCTTTATGTCAGTCATTCTGTCTGTCCCAGTGGTTTCCGAGTTGCTGCTTTTCCCCTGGCTCTCCCTTCGTGTGTCATTGAGGTGAGGGGCATTTCTGGGAAATTGGTGGGATTGGGGGAGGGGGAGGAAAGTGTCATTGTGGGAGTAGGATCCTATGGCATAGGCTGAGATGGAGCCAGACTTACAGACAGATAGGTGAGGATGTTACCAGTGTTCTGTTTTCTCTTCATATCCCCAGTACCAAGGACTTCCCAGACTAGGATCACAGGGTTGGAGAAGCATATACTGATTTCTGCTTAGCAGTCGTTCTTACTCTCTTCCCTCAACTTTCTTGGTTGGAAGGTGCCAGTATTCTTCTTTCCCAGCCTTCCAGTGGTGCTGCCACTGGCAAATTTCCAGCTCCTCCTTCCCGCCGCCTCATCATAGGCCTCTGTCGCTCCTCGGTGCGGCAGAGGGGACTTAGGCATGCCAGAGAGTCTTAAACGTGAGGAAATCCCCTCAAAGTCTTTTCAGCATGACATATAAGCAAGTGTAAAGTATCACAGTGCTGTGTTCATGAGTGCTACAAGGATGCAGAGTGAAAGGGTCCTCTTCGTCCGCTTGAACTGGAGTATGCTATTAAAGAACAAGGGAGCGACAGAATGGAGGACATCTCATCCAGTGCAAGCAAAGCCATGGAGGTTGCGTGTAGCAGGGGCAAGATATGTATGTGTCTGCTTTCCTCTAGGTTCTCTGCTTTCCAAAGTGAGGTGAACTGAGATGCACGCCCTCTCCTCTGAAAGAGTAGTTCGTAGAGCTTGTCTTTGTTGACATTAGTCCTTCTTCCTGCTTTGCAGAGCACCTTTGGGTTTGTGTTGTTGGGGATGCTAGCGATTTGTATCTATGTCTTGGTGATGGTTTCTCAGGTGGGTGCTAAGTAGGCTTTCTCTTTCCCTTTTGAAGTGAAGCCCTCTCCTTCCAAAAAGTTTCGGTCTGGCTCATCTTTCTCTCGGCGAGCAGGCCCCAGCGGCAACTCCTGCATTACTTACCAGACATCGGTCTCTGGGGAGCACAAGGCACAAGTGACAACCAAGGCGGAAGTGGAGCCAGGTCAGCGCCAGGGCTGGGGTTCCCATGTGATTGGGCACTCCCTCCCTTCCTTCTGAGCCCTATCTTACCTGCCTAGGACCTCTACTCCCTGTTCCTATTCAGGAAAAGCCAAGTTGCTACATTTTTTCCCCCTGTATTTCCCCCACCCCATTTTGTCTTCTTTTTTATTTATTGATTTTCTTCCCTTTTCTTTTTTCCAGGCGTCCACTTCGGTCGTCCTGATGTTTTACCTCAGACTCCACCTTTGGAGAAAATCAGTGAGGTCTCGACTATTCCTGACCCCTATTTCTCACCTGTAGTTGGAGAGACTTTGCAAATGCAAACTACAAGGTTGGTTCCTTGGCCCCTTTCTTCATATAATCTTTTCATCTCTCTCTCTTCAGGTCCTTGGGAACCTCCATAATTTTGTTTTTTTCAAGAGATCATTGTTTGTCTTTTGCTCTTCACTAGATTTTTCCAGGTTTACTTTCCTTTAGCTCATCTTTAGTGATTTGGAGAAGTGTGTCAACATCTCTGCATCTTTAGGGGGTGTGCAGACTATTTTGATAGTCAAAATACGCCCCAGCTAACCCTTTATTTCCTGGTGAGTTAGGTGAGAATTCTCAGCTTACTTTGTAAGCCTGGAAAGATTTCTGGGCAGTGAAGAAAATGAACAGTCAATCTTGTAAAAGGATCCATTCTAAAGATTGTGATTTAATTTTGTTACATGGTGTGTTGAGTATCTATTCCATCATAATAAATTAACCCAAAACTTAGTGGATTAAAATAACAAACACATATCATAGTTTCTGTGGGTCAGGAATGTGGGTACAGCTTAGCTGGGTCCTCTGGCTCAAGGTCTTTCATGAGGTATTAGCCAGGGCCTCCCATCTCTTCTGAAGGTTCAGTTGAGAGGCTTCACTTCTAAGCTCATTTATATGCTTATTGGCAGGATTCAGTTCCTGTGGGTTGCTGGACAGAGGGCCTTAGTTCCTTGCTGGCAGTTGGCTGGGGGCCTCCCTTCGTTCTTTGCCACATGAGCCTCTCCTTAGGACAACTCAAAACATCGCAACTGGCTTCCCTCGGAGTGAGCAATTGAGAGTGCATGCACCTATGCAGAATTCATAATCTTTTTGTGACCTAACCTCAGAATTGACATCCTATCACCAGTACTGCATTCTAGTCACTAGATTGAGCCCACACTCACAAAGAAGGGAATTCACAAAGGTGTGAATACCAGGATGCAGAACTCATTGGGAGCCACCTCAAAAGTGACCTATTTCACAGTCCATCTTCTGGCCCCCGATGATTCCTACCCCTCCCTCTGCGAAATGCATTCATTTGCTCCCATGGTCTTCAAAAGTCTCATCCCATTGCAGCAGCAGCTTAAATTCCAGAATTTTGTCATCTCAATTAGGTCTTGGTTTGGAGGAGCTCCCCAGGTATTATTCCGTGAGTACAGTTGCTCTCAGTCTTTGGACTTGTGAAACTAAAGAGAGCTCTTTTCTCCCTACACACCCAGCAGTGGTGAGGCAGTAAGTAGCTAATCACTGAACACAGTCCTGTGCAGAAAGAGTGAGGGAGGCACAGAGCTGTCACTGGTGCAGAGCTAGTCCCAAATGCAGCAACTGTTGGAGTCAGCAACTGTTGGGAAAAGCTTGGGAGTAATTCTCCATGACTCTCGACTCCACCCTTTGAACTCGTGGTTTTGCTTTCTGGGTCTTCCTTTTTCATGAAAGCTGGCATGTGTTTGCAGCTGAGTAGTTTACTCAGCCTGCTTCCTGCCAGTACAATTTTGGGGTCCAGCGGTTTCTTCATTTTGCACTGTGTCTGTCCCTTTCAGTCTAAGCTGTGAATGTTTCTGCTGTTATAATGCCCTCACATATTTTGTGGGTCTCCCGTGAGTCTCACTGGAATTCATTCCCCTCGACAAAAGCCACACCCACAGATACCTTCTTCCTAAGCCCTGTGCTTCTTAGAGATCCTGTTAAGTTGAGAGGATCTGGGTGACATTAATCTTTTTTATTATTTTTTATTTTTTATTTTTATTCTTATGTTAATCCCCATACATGACATCATTAGTTTTAGATGTAGTGTTCCATGATTCATTGTTTGTGCATAACACATTAATCTTTTTGACTGGCCTTTTGTATGATCGAATAGTACTCTAAGGAACCAACTTTGATTTTTCGGAAGTCTTAAAAAAATATTTTACAGTCATAACTTGGCTTTGTCTCTAGACCACATTTTCCTGGCAGTGCCCAGGTTTTATGCTTGCTCACAAACTCCTTCTTAATTTTATAGCATTGTTTGCCATCTGCTGGAGGGGCTCAGAATTTTCAAAACCATCAAGTCCTGGCAAGTCCTTTTATTTAATAGTCTTCCCTTAATTTTTTTCTTCTCATTTTACTATAAGCATTAAGAAGGAACCAGGTGGCACCTTTAGCACTTTGTTTAGAATTCTCCTTAGGTAGGTCACCCAATTCGTTAGACACATATTCTGCTTTTCACTTAACTGCATATGACATTGTTGCAAAACTTTGTTCCACTGCATTACAGGGATCCCCTTTCCTTCAGTTTTTCCCGTAAGATTTTTCTCACTTGCCTTTGAGCCCACACTGGCAACTCCCTCATTCAAGTCTAAATTCTACAGTATATTCATGGCACTTCTAAACTTTCACTAAAATGCTGCTTAAAGCCCACTTCCCTCTTCCAAAGCCACTTCCACTTTTCAGTTTTTTATTGTTTTTTATTTTTTATTTTTATTTTTATTTTTTTTTAAAGATTTTATTTATTTGACAGAGAGAGAGCACAAGTAGGTAGAGAAGCAGGCAGAGGAAGAGGGAGAAGCAGGCTCTCCACTGAGCAGGGAGCCCGACGTGGGGCTCGATCCCAGGACCCTGGGATCATGACCTGAGCCGAAGGCAGCCGCTTAACCGACTGAGCCACCCAGGCGCCCCTTGTTTTTTATTTTTTTTTATTATTACTTTTTAAAGATTTTATTTATTTGAGAGAGAGAATGAGAGAGGGAGAGAGCACATGAGAGGGGGGAGGGTCAGAGGGAGAAGCAGACTCCCTGCTGAGCAGGGAGCCCGATGCAGGACTCAATCCCGGGACTCTAGGATCATGACCTGAGCCGAAGGCAGTCGCTTAACCAACTGAGCCACCCAGGCGCCCCCCACTTTTTAGTTTTTTAAAAAGTTCAGTAGCACTTTACTTCCAGGTACAAAAATTTATATTGTATAACAAATTACCCCCAGCGTGGCAGCTAAAAACTACAAACATTTATTATCTCAGATTTTATGTAGCTTAAATATCTAGGAGTGACTTAGCTGGGTGCCACTGGCTCAGGGTCTCTCAGGAGGTTACAGTGAAGTTGTTAGGGAAGTAGTCTCATCTGGAGGCTCGCCACGGGGGAGGATCGACTTCCAAGCTCACTTATGTGGTTGTTGGCAAAATTCAGTTCCTTGCAGGCTGTTGGCCAGTGGTCCTCCCTCAGTTCCTTGTCACATGCTTTCTCCATGTGGCAGCTAGCTTCCCTCAGAGCAAACAGTGGGTGAGAGAGCTCGAGCCCAAGAAGAAGCTAGGTAGGGTCTTTTTTTTTTTTTAAGATTTTTTTTTTTTTTAATTTTATTTATTTGACATAGAGAGAGGGAACACAAGCAGGGGGAGTAGGAGTAGGAGAGGGAGCAGCAGGCTTCCTGCTGAGCAGGGAGCCCGATGTGGGGCTCGATCCCAGGACCCTGGGATAATGACCTGAGCTGAAGGCAGATGCTTAACCGTCTGAGCCACCCAGGCACCCCTAGATAGGGTCTTTTTGTAACCTAATCTCAGAATTGGTGTTCCATCACCTGGCCTGCATTCTGTCCTCTGGAAGACAGTCATTAAATCCAGACTGCATTCAAGAGGAGAGATTTACACAATGGCACAAATATCAGGCAGCAGTGATCACTGAGTGCCTACCACACCTGGGAATTGAGGACAGAAGGGGAGGGTATTAGGAAATATTTTTGTAGTACTCAAGAAGCTAAATAGTTGATTAAATTAACTATTAATTAAAACAACATGCTTCTAAGTCTGGTAGTTTCTTAGCCTCTTCTTTCTGACAGAGAGAGACAGCGAGAGAGGGAACACAAGCAGGGGGAGTGGGAGAGGGAGAAGCAGGCCTCCCGCAGAGCAGGGATCCTGATGTGTGGGGCCCAGGGCCCAGGACCTGAGCTGAAGGCAGACGCTTAACGACTGAGCCACGCAGGCGCCTCGGCCTCTTCTTTCTGAATCCTAAGTTGATCCCTGAAGTGAAATATGGAGAAGCAGTACAATATCTGACTTGAGAGGATTGTCCTTTCTCTTCTTTATCTTCTAATTCTTCTCTCTGCCTCCATTTTTTTTTTCTCCTGTTAGTTCAACCCTCTTGGAAAAGCCTGAAGTTGCAGAGTCAGAGTTCACCCATGTGAGTGTCTGGGATGTGGGGGAGGTGAATGCTTTTATTTGAAGGGTATAAAGAGGATCACTGATGGAGTGGAACAGGGAGTTAATTTGCAAGGTTAGAGGGACTGGGTGCCCTTTTAATCTTGCCTTTTTAAATTTTGTGGGGACCTTGTACTTGGAAGCAGAGGATGAAGTAGAAGAAAACTTCACTGCCAGTCAGGCTGAAATAAACTTGAATTCTATTCTTGCCTCCTCATTTCATACTCCACATCCTTAACTTTACACCCTTTCTCTTTTCCTTTCCAGTGAGCAAAAAAACTCGGAAGACCTGGAACAAGATTCTACCAGCTTGGTGATCCCAAGAAGCCAGCCCTTGTCCCAGCAATGCTGAGTTTTCTTCTTCGTGGTCATCACAAAAGGATTATAATGGAGGCGAGGGGAGCTCTCGGTCTCCTTTCTGAAGAAGAACCTCTTCTCCTTCCCCTTCCTGACGAATGGGCATTGGTGCCTTGGACAGTTGAGGACAGCAGCATCTTCTCCACTTCTGAGTTAGGGGGCACAACTTTTCAAATGGCCAGCCTTGGCTTCCACAACGGAATTGTTTTCAAGCCCCCATTCTTCCTGCTGGAAGTGGGGTTGCTGGACTTGGTGGTTTTCTTCCTCTTCACCTACCTTTCACTGGGAGCTGGACTCTTAACTTCCTCAGGACAGACTGGCTGGCACATTATCTCCACCTTCGCGCTTTCTCTGGAAGAAGACCCTTGTAATCTTTGTAAAGGTTTTGGGGAGTCAGGGTGTTAAGCCAACTCCCACCTTCCTTTTTTTTCCTTAAAAAAAGGAAAAGAAAAACTAGCACACAGCACACAGTTTGAAGCCAGACAGTGTCAGATCAAAACTGCGTAAGTTTCAGGAGAGATGCCTGTTTGTGGGGTTCCCTCAGAAGAGCCCCCTGGTGTTTGAGAAATGGAACTATGGAACTGCTTTGCCAGGAGCAGCTCCTCTTTAACTCCTCTCTTGATGAATTTCTTAAGGCTGAAGGAGAGAGCGGGACATGGGGTAATCTTTACCCCTTTTGTTGAAACAGTAGAGCAGTCATGGGACCAGAAGATCAGAGCCCTTGCTAGGCGGGATCCTGCTTACTGCCAGGTCATCACAATTATTACTGTTTTGCAATTGGAAATGTATTCTGCTTGTTCTTCTAAATATGAAGACTTAATCAAATGAATTTGGATCCTTCTCAAAGGGAGGTTTCTTCCTTGCTCTTCCCACTTTTTCCAACAGCGTTGGAAGAAGGAGCTGAGGTGCAGAGGGGACACCTGTGTCCGTTTAACAGGCAATCTGTATCTATGAGGCTAGAGGATATTCGCTTAGACTCACGGGGAGCCAGCAGATTCTTGCCTAGGTGAGATCATTGCTGTGCCACATGCCCTGCTCCCTCTCATGCAGAGAACTCAGAAATCGGAGCTGTGTAATCCGTCTGTCCCCTGTCTCCCAAGAGTTGCGGTCCCCCACTTGATCCTCCTTCTGTCTGGGGACTAAGGAGGCATCTCAGGCAGATTGTTGAATACTGTCCCGTCTCCATCCTGCCCGACCTTGATAGTAGGTTAGCCCGTCCCCCAAGTAACTGTCTATATTAGACACCCCCAGCCAGTTTCTGGCTGCCTGTCTTTGCTGCCATGTTCTTTTTTACAAGAAGGAAAGAAACAAGTCTTGCTATTTTTTTTTCATAATTTACTATTTATGATGTATTTAAGTGTTTTATTCAGGACAGAGTTCTGTAGGGAGTGGGAGGGAATATTTGAGGGAGGCTGGGTCTTAGGGAAGGGAATGGGGGGGAATCAACATTTTTATGAAGTGTCACTATTTGCCTCCACTTTGTATTGTTCAGCAATGGCAAATGCAATATAAAAGTGATAAATATCTGGTTTTAATGTATTAAACTTTCATCAGTTATTTAGACCTCTTGTTTCTTCCTAATTCTTTTTCATACACCATCTGCTCCACCCTCCTGCCTCAGCTCGGGCTCAGTGTTGTTTGCGGTGCCCTGAGCAAATGCGTCCTCGCCAGCTGCCTTCAGTCTGGTGCAGGCCGGTGCTGGCTTCATTCCCTACCTTCCAGGCACCTCTCCACTTGAACAACTTCAACTTGACAAGGAAAAGCCATGAATGAATATAAAGACAATTACTGTAGGTCTGTTGCCTAAGTGGCAACCTACTTTAACTGACGGATCTGGGAATCCAAAGCTCAAAGTCTTCCTCAAGTTTAGGAGGAGAGGAGGAGGACAAAGCAAGCCTGAGATCATTTGGCCTTTGGATTCCCTCTTTCCTTCCCCTGACCTGGTGCTAAGGTGTCACTTAGAAGCCCACAGAGACTGCTTCCCTCAATTCTGTTTTCCTCTTCTGTGAGGTGGAGCTTATAGCCACTATATATATATATATATATAACCACCAGTTATTAGTTATTAGTTAGGCTTTTTTACTGTGATAGGAAACTAGTCCAAAGAGGGGGTGCTTGTTCTAAGGTATGCAGGTAGGGAAGTTTGGAGAGAAGCAAGTTAACTAGTGTTCTTTCCACAGCACTATTCCTTATCTTGTTAAGATCATTCTACAAATATTTATGCAGCAACTAATGAGCAATTCACTGGGTAAGTTGGAGGTCAAAAGAAGTAATTGACCTTCAAGAGTTTACAGGAAGAGGACATACATACTTGGTGTGTACACAAAAACAACATTTTAGATGGATTATAGTTAAGGATACCAGTTCTCTGAGAGAATGGTACAGAATATATTAGGTGGAAGAAAATTTAGAGGTTACTGTGGACTAGAAGTGTTGGAGAAAGTTGCACATGAACCCAAGGGCCTAGAGGTACGAGAAGGGTCCTTGTTTTGGAGAACGAGGAAAAGCCCACAGTGGAGGCAATGGTGGAGGAGATCTGAGTGAGAATCTTGGAGTAGGTATAGGTGGAAGCCACACAGGAAACCCTGATTGCTAAGCTGAGGAATTTTTTAAGATTTTATTTGAGATAGCATGAGCAGGGTGAGGGTGGGCAGAGGGAGAGGGAGAAGCCGACTTCCCACTGAGCAGGAAGCCTGACCTGGGGCTCGATCCCAGGACCCTGGGATCATGACCTGAGCCGAAGGCAGATGTTTAACCAACTGAGCCACCCACGTGCCCCTAGCTGAGGAATTTTGTATTTTAAACTAGGTAGTGAGGAACTGTAGAATGCATTTTGCCTCTAGGACATGATCCAAATAATTCAGACTAATCTGTTGACAAAGTTCTGTAAAAGTGGGTAGAACAAGCAGATTAGACTATAATAATTTAGGTGTGTGGTGGTGTAGGAGAATAGAGGTGATGATAAAACTATGATAGGGGCACCTGGGTGGCTCAGTCGTTAAGCATCTGCCTTCTGCTCAGGTCGTGTTCCCAGGGTCCTGGGATCGAGCGCCACATCGGGCTCCCTGCTTGGTGGGAAGCCTGCTTCTCCCTCTGCCACTCGCCCTGCTTGTGTTCCCTCACTCGCTGTGTCTCTCTGTCAAATAAATAAATAAAATTAAAAAAGAAAACTATGATAGAACAAGTAGTAATTGGAGTGAAGGAGGAACTGGGGATTGTCAAAGTTTTGAATTTGAGTTTAAGTCACTCCTTTAGACTGGATAAGGATAAAACTCTTTCCCTAATAGGAACTGAATCTGAACATGTTTTAGGCATAAGTGGTCTTTCTGCCACCCTTATCTGGTCACTCCCTCTTCAATCATCCATTCAACTGCTGAGTGGGTGCAGTAGATACCCTCTTACAGTCAGAGGGTCCCTCTAGTGGTGAGCAGCAACCGCTACTTCTCTAGCAGGACCCTGCAATCCAAATGCACGTAGGGCCTGCTAAGGGAAAAACTGATAACTAAAAGTTAAGGAAACCAAGTGAGATCATAGGATAATAAAGCTGGAGGGGCACCTGGGTGGTTCGCTTAGGCATCTGACTTCAGCTCAGGTCATGATCTAGAGATCCTGGGATTGAGCCCCGTGTGGGACTCCACAATCAGCGCGGAGGCTGCTTCTCCCTCTCCCTCTCCCTCTGCACTTCCCCCTGCTACTGCGCTGGTGCGCGTGCGCTCTCTCTCTCCCTCTCACTCAAATAAGTAAAAATCTGGGGTGCCTGGGTGGCTCAGTTGTTAAGCATCTGCCTTCGGCTCAGGACACGATCCCAGGGTCCTGGGATCGAGTCCTGCATCGGGGCTCCCCGCTCTGTGGAAAGCCTGCTTCTCCTCCCACTCCCCCTGCTTGTGTTCCCTTTCTCGCTGTCTCTCTCTGTCAAATAAATAAAACTTTTTAAATAAATATCTTTTTTTAAAAAGGATAATAAAGCTGGAAATCCTGGTTTAATGTTTTTCTCTTAAGCATGTCAGTCTCAACTATTCTGAAAGTTATTCAATAGAGTTGGAGTCACATCCCTTCTTGCCGTTTAAAATATATTCCAGGGGCACCTGGCTGGCTCAGTTGGTTAAGCATCTGCCTTCGGCTCAGGTCATGTTCCTGGGGTCCTAGGATTGGGCCCCGCGTCGGGGCTCCTTGCTCAGGGGAAGCCTGCTTCTCCCTCTCCCTCTCCCTGCTACTCCCCCTGCTTGTGCTCTGTCAAATAAATAAAATCTTAAAAAAAAAAAAAAAAAAAAAAAAGAGCTTCTTTAAAAATAAACTGTGTATTATTTACTTTTTTTTCTCTTTTCTTTCTTTACTTTTAAGTTGGTTCCATGGGGGCGCCTGGGTGGCTCAGTCGTTAAGCATCTGCCTTCGGCTCAGGTCATGATCCTAGGGTCCTGGGATCGAGCCCTGCATCAGGCTCCCTGCTTGGCGGGAAGCCTGTTTCTCCCTTTCCCACTCCCCTCTGCTTGTGTTCCCTCTCTCACTGTCTCTGTCAAATAAATAAATAAAATCTTAAAAAAAAAAAAAGTTGGCTCCATGCCCAGTGCAGAGTCCAAAGTGGGGCCTGAACTCAGGACCCTGAGATCAAGACCTGGCCTGGTATCAAGAGTCAGACGCTTAACTGAGCCACCCAAGAGCCCCTCTTTCTTTTTTTTCCTTAAAGATTTTATTTTATTTTTTTTCTTTTTTTTTTTAAAGATTATTTATTTATTTATTTGACAGAGACAGAGATAGCGAGAGCAGGAACACAAGCAGCGGGAGTGGGAGAGGGAGAGCAGGCTTCCCGCCGAGGAGGGAACCCGATGTGGGACTCGATCCCAGGACCCTGGGATCATGACCTGGGCCGAAGGCAGACGCTTAACGACTGAGCCACCCAGGTGCCCAAGATTTTATTTTCTTTTAAAAGATTTTATTTATCTGAGAGAGATCACAAGCAGGGGGGAGGGGTAGAGAGAGAAGTAGGCTCTCCGCTGAGCAGGGAGCCCAAAGGGCAACTCGATCCCAGGACCCTGGGATCATGACCTGAGCTGAAGGCAGACAATTAATCTATTAATCAACTGAGCCACCCAGCCGTCCCTGAATTTTTGTTAGTAGTTTTTTTTACCCTAATCTCTCTTGAACTTCCTCTAAGTTTTTGCCCCCACCACCCAACCAAAACATCTTTTATTAAGGTCACTGATGACCATGTGGCTAAATATATCAATCCTCCTCTTACTTGATGTGTCAGCAGCATCTGACAGCTTATTATTCCCTCCACTTAGCTTCTGGGATACTACTTTCACCTGGTTGTCCTCAACAGGTTACTGCACTACTCCATCTCCATCCTTTACTAGTTCCTCCTTTTCTCCCTAACCTCTAAATGTTGAAGTGCCCCAAGACTCAATCATAGGACCCCTTCTTTTAG